CCATTCACTGTGTCACTTTTACCTCTCTTCTGTATTTATTTCGTCTGCCAAATTTTTGATGGACAAATATAGTTCAGCGATATGATTTCGACAATTGCTTCGTATTATTATTATTATTGTATTTACAGATTTTCAATAGTTTTTGAATAAAAATATTTGTGGAGTAGACTTTCATGTGTTTATTTTTGGTAGCGGTATTGTTTAATCGATAACGATGTCATGTATGTATGGTGGTGGTACAGAGTTTGGTTGGTTGTTTTATTGGTAAATATACCAAGACTTCAACATAGACATGCTTTTTTTAAGAATAACGTTTCCCGGTAATGTTTCCGGTTATATCTTACTTCATTTACCAAACACTGTTACTTAAGTTTGGAGACGTTATATTGTGGAATCAGATAACACATTAGCCAAAAATCGGATATGTAGGTCATTCTTATGTTGACTTTAATGGTCCAAAGATATTTTAGTTGCCACGGAATCTCATATTCTAAGTCCTGATTCCTAATAGAATCTCACTTGTTTGCTCCTGAGGACTCAAAATTTTTTTTATGGTCCGATTAAAATCAGTACATAGTGAGAACCGTAATCAGTATTACTTATTTTTTTCTGGTTGCTCTTCAGTTAATGTAGTGGGTTGGTACTGAAATCACCTTCGAATTTATCCGTCTATCTTCTAAACACCAATTTCCAGTTATATTTATCGACTATTCTTATATCTGATTATATCAAGGTTAAAGTGATAATTAGATAATTGTTTAGAAATATAGTTTTTCTCAAATAAATAGTGAACATGGGAATTTCGAAATACTTATGCGACAGTTCGCTTATCAATTTTAGTACTAGGTATTTGCTTGATTATTCATACAATCAGAATAATTTTACAGCAACCAAGTTATTTAGTTTTATTATACTGTATGACATTACAAAATCTTTTTATCGTCTTGATGTCTTCGTAGAAAATTATTTATCTCTAAAAAAAGTAAATCGTGGTTATTCTATGTACCAATTGGTTCAATATTCACACTTAACTTATCTCAATCTTCAGAAAAATTCGTGTTATCACTTTAATAAAGAGAATTATTGCTGCCAGCTCATTGACGCGTGTATTTCGACTGAATGTATACAGGTCTCAGTCTTTGAAATAAAATCCTTTAAACGTTTCTCTTAATGAATTGTTTTTATATGTATGTACATATATATAATACAGGGAGTGAGTAAAAAATATAACTGTTACCTTTATATCTGGTACTTAAATATTTTAGAGAATATCTCTTCCTTCGAAATCAATTTTTGGACCTTTTAGATAGAGTACTACCCATTTACTTTCGAATATATTAAGGTTCCGTAATTGATAATGTTCTACACTCACGTTAATATGTCAACTTCTTTTAATGTCCCTTGATAATAAGAGATTATCACGATGGTTATTTAGCTTTTCAGATAATATTCCATTGTCATCTTACCCTCATATTTCATCGCTCTACTTATAAAATCGTTTGTTCAAAATGAGAACCTAACTTGTTTCGGTTCTGTGTTTTACTTCTAATTCTGCAGCGAGATGGCTAACTATGTTTACGCGTTTAGTAACCATTGTTACTTTGTTGATTTATAAATCTTTGAAAGTATTAGCTTTATGAAATGCTAGATGTCACATTGTTGTCTTGTCATTTTGCAACTAAACAGTCAGAGAATTTCGGTTTATGATCCTCCTTGAAAAATTCAATGCCATCTGATATAGTAATTATACTTATTAAAAGTTTGCACAGAAAGACTTAAAATTACTATTTGTTATCTAAATGTTAGATGGAGCGATCTATTTCATAATTTCACTTAGTCTCAGGAAATTTAAATGAAGTCTACAATAATCTGGGAACTGGTAACCCTCATTACTATTTCTATACATTACTGTAGATCTGATTAAAGTATAGAAAGAGAAATATAATTCCAAAATCTAAAGTTTTATTATTATTTAATAGAAAGCACAAGTATAAATTCATACTTATACCGAAGATTTATATGTATTATTATCTATTAGCCTCATATATACCTAACTCGACAAATAAAAGACACTGGAACTTGGTTTCACTTTTACAAACTCACTGTGATTAAGTTAATTTTTAGATGGTAGAAAAGATTTGTGGCACAGTAGGATGACTTTTGTCAAGTAGCCATCTCTTAACTGGGTAGTCTAGTTGTGATAGTTTCATTGCCCTTCTAGTCAACATTATCAGGAGAAGCTTCATAAACTGAGGTGCAACAATTCCTTACAATATTTGGAATTTTATAAAATTAGGTTTTAACAAACGTCAATGATAATGCTTTTCTGTATTGAAATTTCAAACTTTTTGACTGGAATATTATCGTGTATTTATATTTGTATTTTGTTCTTTAAATGGAAAAATTAGTAACCGGACTGGGATAAGCACTTAGGAACTTTTTTATTGTTTTTTTTCTAAAAAAAAATATGTCAAGGAACTTGTCGGCAAAATGATTATTTGTCTGAATTTCAAACACTTAGTTATTAAAACGTTTGTAACTGAAAATTAATGCACTTTGTCTTGATCAGAATTAGATAATTCATCACATACTAATTCACATTAATTGTGTAAATTGAATTTTTATCAGTATAGATGTTAAATTATTTATTAATTACGAAAATCGGCATTACTTTTAGTACCTGGAATCTTGTTGTGTTGTTAGTAATCAATACCACTTATCTGTTGAGTTTAATGTAGAGCGGTTTAAAGTATCCTTAAAATTTACACTTTTTTTAAAGGGTTTTAAGTACTTGTTGCTTAGAGGATGTAATCTATATTATCAGCTTTGTATCATTCTTAACATGTGGAATCTGTGTAGATAGTTGTCGCTTTTTTGACCATTCAAATACCAATATTTGACTATAAGTGTTTTCAAAGTATTACTATTGTATATTCGAACCGCTGAATGAGCACTGTTGAAGCTAGAAGCATGGTGCTAAATGCAGGTTGTAAATCTTCACTGACTGAGGTGGTTGAGACGTGTATTACGTATGCCCAACAACAACCGTCTACCTTGACTCATGATATTTGATATTTGAGCGAATCGGAAGAAAACTAGGGGCGTTCAGTATAAAACTTCGCAGCGGTCCGTGAAGTCATTGACCATTAGACTAAACCATGTTAGTAAATTCTGACTACCTTGCTGAGGTCGATTCAATTATCATAACTAGCTGTTTGAGACGAATCACACGGCTCAGAATTGATTGCAGTGACACCCACCCACTCATTCTTCATCTTTCCTAAGATCCTGTGTTTTAAAATTATCTTATCCCTTTTATGCATCTTTCTCGAATCATACTCTCTATGCCTAATTTCTTTATACTATCACTGATACTATTACTACTTTTATGGCTTTGACATTCATTTTGATAACATTTTCTCTTTGTGATGTGGTATGGGAATGTTTACTGATATAGTGATGTACCAAATTTTACATTGGATATGGCTGATTAACTTATTGATTGCTACGTTTTTATCAACACTTAATCTCTTTTTCTACTGCAAAAAATCAAGTACTATATCGGATTAGTATTTTTTCAAGAGATTGGAAGTTACTAACAACTAACGTTTCTGTTGATCACTCAATATGTATCTCGGATCATAGTGCCAAGTTTTGGTGCCACGGTCTTTACTTCCATTAAGTTATACTTTTGTCACTGCACTTTATCCGTTGCAGAGATTCTTTAGACAATTGTTATTGGACGTCATTATCATTTTTATAGAATTGTGGATGCGAAAGTGCTTTATATGCTAGTGAAATATAGTAGGTAGTGACATAGGCACTTAGAAATAACCTAATCTGTCCTAATTTTGTTCCAAAGATCATAATATTTTCTTGGTTATGCGATTTCGAATAGAGAACCTGTCGACAAAACTAGACAATTAAAAAATGATTCATCTTTAAATATTATGTCCGTGGGATGGTAGTTTCGATTTTGACAATACTCATCATTAAAATATCTTGTAATCAGTCCGATCAACAGCGTAATTATTTCGCGATGAAAATGATAATTCATCAGGTGACTACTAGTGTAATGTGTGTTACTGATGTCGATATTTATAAGCGGTATGTATCATCCATAGAAAGTGAAATGCCTGGAGGCAGAAGGTTGTGAAGATCAAAGAAAAGAGAATGAGGACAGAGAGTGATTGATGTGGAGACGAAGAGACAAATAGGTCTGAGACGATTGATTAACATTTTGCAAATTAAGTATTTACTGTATAGTTCTCAGATTTTACTAAAACGTTCTGTAATTTTCTATACAAATACATTTGATTTTCCCACCTGTGTTCTCGTTCACTACACTAGTACTGAGGAAATTATAGATCTAGGTTGCGACACTTCTTTGAGACTGCATATCATTTACACGAAACAATTCACTATGTTATAATCATAGTGTGGTTGGCTGTTATTGATATCCGTGTGTGAATATTTCAAGATAATTGGTAAACAATATACGATCTTTGTTATGCTAGACCATTCTGGATGCCATCTAATTTGTTGTAAATATGAATCTTCAAAAATAATGAAATTCCACTAGGAGTGTACCATGTTAGAACCTCATCTTAGTAGATATCATTTACCACTTTATACATATATTTTTCAGTGATTTATAAACTCCGAAAACAATGGCTCTTCAATACTTTCTGTTGAAATCGCATTTTCTGAGCTGGGTGGATTAGTTGTAAGGCTTTCGTTGTCTTTCTACTTTTATACATATATTAGGGATTCAGATGGGACGTGTTTCTTGTTCGTTATACTTTACTCAATAAAATTGAAACAGAAGTTGTGTCTTTTAATCTGGAAACATACTTAATCCAATCATACTGTTCATCCATATACACTTTGAGTTGATTTAATTTTATTCGTTGCATTATTGGAAAATTTTATTATTTAGTCAGTTAATCAATATTAATTACTTAAGTGATTTATCACATATTTTCTGATATGAACTTTTAGCCGCTCTTATGAAAACCTCGACAGATTTTATATCTAAATCTAAAAGAGAAAAATGCTGGAAATCACGTGATGCCTTTTGGGAATGTGTTACTGATGTAATCGCAAAAAATTCAGAACCTGATGACAAGTTGGTAAGAAAACAATGTAACAAACAAAGAAAACTTTACGAAGAAATGTGTCCACGAATATGGGTTAGTTCACTGTATGGTATTTGATTTTTTGAATTCCAGAAGTAGTTAGATTACATACATTCAGCTGATCTTACGAGTCTAAGCACAGTACGTAACTAATTAATCATAATTCATTGTTTCCTTTTTAGATACTTGCAGTCTCACATATAGATGAATTATAATCCAAACAGACACACCACGGGAATCGATGTAAATATATGTTTCTCAGTCTGCCACATTTTATATCATATGGAAAAAAACCCAGTAAAAGATATGGCAAAATGTTTCATTAATGTTAATAACAATATTGGTTAGCTAAAATGAATATGGGAAAACTTATTGTTATCTTGTGGACTGCATCTAGGAAGTGTACACCTTCCTATACGGCTCATCCAAATGTCTGATATCATATTTTGGTTTAGCCATCTTCACATTTTTCCAATCTACTTTTATACCGTTACTCAGGTTATCCGTCGTGTAAGCTGTCGAGTTTTTCGATTCCTGCGAAGGATCAATTCAAAAAATGACTCGGGTTCAATGAATTTTACCACTACATTAATTTACAGTCATTAGATAGTCTTAATATTTACCAACCTTCATGTTTTTGCTTCTGTGTTTTGTACCAATGTGTGACTAGGATGTAATCGTGATGTTCTCAATGTTCTCTGTCACTGACTTATCGCAGTGGTGTGATGGAAACATTGACGTGTTTCTCTATAGTTTGGAGACTTAAATTCCAGCCATTAGGTTATAGTTTTTTTCACTTGCGTTTTTTGAGTGTATTGGTCCGATTGTAATGTTTCATATGCGCTACAGTCTGCTTGCCCGATTCGGTTACAAAATACTCGCTCTTGCTAGACACTTAGCCCAACTGCTATGTATTTGAAAGGACTGAAAACAATAGATAAGGTTTAATTGTCAGGTCCGAATAAACTGTATACAACTCAGATGATGATTTGAAAGCAGTAACCTTGGATAGGTGAGTAATTCACAAGGTTATGCCACGTTTGTACTTTTCACCCACTGGTGGTATCCAGACATGTTATGTCTGACTTTCGGAACACATAACATGTTCATGCTCATTTAGCATTCCCTTACTGAGAGGGTTTTCATCTGGCATTCAATCAAGGCGAGGTCATGTAAGTTTGTCATTCTTAACATGATCAGCAGCATTAGTGATCTTTAATGAACGCAGCAAGGCATTCTACAGTATTATCAATCTCCACTGATGGAGCTACTTGATGTGTGCGAAATTCCCATTTACTGGCTGTATACTTCAGTCATATGTGTTAGATAAATTTGAAATACGAAAGTAGGTTTCAAGGTACATGAATTTTAAGTCGTTAATTGTTCATTTTAATCTTTCCAGAAGATGTTGATCTCCAGCATAGAGTTATTAAGAAACCAGAAGTTTGCAGTCACAAGAATCTACCTACTATAAACTGATCAGTTTATCATAGGTTTCTTAGTTTATTCTTTTATGTAGGCTTACAACTAAATAAGTGCTCATTGATGTTTATTATTCTAACTGATATTTGGTTATGATGGGAAACCTCTTTCTAACTAAGCTTTCTACAAGCAATTGTACTGTTCTGTTTTGTGTTTTAAATATCAATATTGTAATGACATCAGCATTTTTAAAATTCCGATCATTAAATTTTGTTACTTAATCTTTCGATGCTGAAGTGGTGGTTTCCTCAATCTTAATCTCTATTTTAAATATTATAGCATGAAACATTGTATATTGCACTTCTACATTACATTAGATGAAAATACTTTTTAATTTATAGATCATCAACAACATTTTAATCTTTTTTTCTTTATTCAATTAAGACCGTAATGGAAGTTAGTATGATTGAGTTTTGAGATCTCTTAATTATTTGACTTCACTTAGCAACCATATACACAGGTTCATATAAATAGATTAATAATCACTACATAGTTACTTGTATCTTAGTAAATAGAGTGAGAATTATACCAATTACCCAGTAATTGAAATGAAACTAAACTATGGAGGTTTCAAGAGCGTTTTTCTTAAAGATTATGTCATTTGAATTCACTTGATGTTGTTTGCTTCCATCTTCCAATTGTTGTTCAGGAATGCAATTGATCAGTCTCTTGTTGGCATATGTACATCCTGAGCGGATTACTTCGATATTACCTTAAGTCACAAGCTTTGTAATCAAAGATGGATAGTGGCTAGCGGTGGAATCTAGGACGCCCGTTTCGTCCCATTTAAGACTCGTCAGCTGTATCTACCTTCACCCGAGTTGATATTCACTTTGGGATTCGAACCCAGTACCGTTCGCTTTAAATGCCATCGCGTTATCCATTTAGCTACTGAGTCATCATTTGGTATATTCACTTGTTCAGTTGATGCATTCATGTTTATCCAACTAAGATGCTATTAGCTATCTCGATTTAACCTTGAAGTTGATATGAAAACTTTAATGGCCAATACTTTCATGTTTCAGTAAATAGGTCATTAGAGTTGGTTTTTGTATATCGTATTCCTCAATTGATTTAGGTTTTACTTCTTAAGTGAATAATCATCAAAATAAATTTGGGTTATTTATTTTTTTGATAAGTTCAACTGACTTATCACTAACATGATATTTCCTGAAAGGTTTCTTTACTCATCATGTAATGAACGAAAACACAGGTAGGGTTAACCAACTGTATTTTAATGCAAAATTACAGAGTTGTTTGATAAAATGTGAAAACCATACGTTCAATACTTCATTTACAAACCCTCCATCAATTGTCTCAAACGTCATCGTTCCTTCATTGCCATAACAATTACTCTCTGTTCTCGTCCTCTTCGACATTGTGCTACTAATCAATATACTACTTATGTAGACATAAGTAGCATACACCACAATCATAATTATTTAGAGGTTTTAAGACTTCTCCAAAGAAGTTATTGGTGATTTTATTTCGTCGATTTTTGAATATACTTATTGTTTAACAATAAATTACAATCTACTACTGAGCTCAGAACATTTTTTTGTCATAAAGTGAAACTATCTGAGAAAACTTACCATAAATCTATACCAAAGATCCTACACAGGATTAAACCTAAAATTTGTTAATCACGTAGTGAATACAGTACCATTCAATGTGAGTCAGAAACGAATGGTTTAAACTTTCTAACTTCAGTCAGTTAGTTATGTGGGGCTATAATCATTCATTACTGTCATGGATAACTGCTTTCTTCTCTGCCTTATTAAAATCTTTCAGGTAACAGTTCCTTAGTGGAACTTAGATAAGTGGATATTCGACTTAATCACTATTCAGCACACTATCTTCTATTTAGATAGGAGATTTGTTTCGAATAAAAACCCGTAAAGTGTCATATTTTTTCACTGCTTTGAAGTCCAAAGATAAACAAACAGGTTGGTTCCTGATTTTATTAACCGATTTCAGCGGTCACGAACTGTCCTCGAATAAACTTTTCATATATTGTCAATTCGTTAAATATTGACCATGAAGCCTTCACGAATAACGATTTGAATTCAGATGAAATTATGAGTAGTCAAAGTATGAGACTTCTTATTAGATTAGTTTATACTGACAGACAACCCGAGTGAAATTTGTTGTCATTGATATATTTATTTCATCATTGTCTAATTTTTTCGCATCCAGCACATATATTGTGACTGATTCTCTTTTATTTTTTATTCATGGATGGTGTTTTTTGTTAGTTTGATAATAAGCCTATTTGTGATTTGAGTCTACTACATAGTTTATGGGATGTCTCTCAATTTTTTCATATCCACAAAGATCGAAATGTTGGTTGGATACTGAATGGATAATCAGTGTTATTTATGTAGAGTGAACTTTCTTAACGCAAATTTGAAGGACATTTCGTTAGATATTGAAAGATGTATACTATGTTCATTACAACAGTGTTCAGATCTTAGACAACCATTTAGACTTTATGAGTTGCTTTTATATTCAGATTGATACTAATCAGTGATGAAGTCTTCATATTCATAATTCCGAAGAATTATATTATCCACATCATAAACTATTGAAAACAAATAGCCTCATAGTATCTATTTATTTCTTCTCTACTTTATCTGAACATATACATTTTCAAACTAATACTTTAGTACCAAAAAACCTAAATTTCTAAAGTTACCAATTTAATAAATATACGTTTTCTTTGTTATTTTGTTTCTTTTGATTTTACTAAAGATACCCAGGAATAACTTTAAACATTTCACTAGTTGATTATATCTGAAAAGCGCTACATTTTCGATCTTTATCATAGTGAATAATTGGTATCATAGTTTATCAGATAAACTCTGAATACCTTAATTTAAACTTATATGTTGTGATAAAGTTGTACAATGTTAGCAAGTCTTAGAATATGACAATAATAACTGTTTGATAATCTTTAGTTCTCAGTGTTATCAATTAGTGATAACGATTTTTAGAGAAGCAAAAAAAAACCAATGAATACATAAAATTAATAGATATTCCAACTTCTCCGTTCAATTAATTGTTATATATATATATATATATATATATATATATATATATATATATATATATATATATATATATATATATATATATATATATATATATATATATATTGGACTGCATTATTGTGCCAATACATTTTCTTTATATCTTTTCTTCAGGTCGAGTTTTTCGATAAGAAGAAAGATTTTGAATTTTTCAAGGCCAAGAAATTTGAGAAGGAGTTGTTACATAGCTCGAGTTCACAGAGTTAGTGGTTGCACTCAGTGCGTAATTTAGTGTATATATGAAATTAATTTATCCCGTATCTTCATAAATATACATTAAAACTATTTCCAGAGAATCCAGTTTTTTTAAACTACATATTTATATAATAGTTGAGATACAAATGTGTAGATATCAATGACTCTGTACTTAAATTACAAGGCAACGTGTTCGTAGATAGTGTTAGGTATAATGGTTGTAAAAACACATGTTGAACCATGAGTTTTATTTTACGATGTCCTAGTTCTGTATAAAATATAAGTTGGGATTTTTAAAAAAAGATTCTTTCCATGATTGTATTTGAGTATTTCAATGTGTAGTTTGTCAGAATTATGATAGTTAATGAATTCATGTAATTTGAACTAGACAACGTTGAGAAACTTAATGTGTTCAAATTATATTTCCATCTCAATGTTAACAATTTTAAAACATCAGCTATCCATCAAACCTTTATTAATTAGTAATCTGGAGACGTGAGAAATATTCGGTCGTGTGATTAGTCAGTTTTAAGTTTGAGTGAAATTCTTATAAATATTCAGAAAAGTAACGCAAATATTACTGCAAGCTCCTAAAAGAAGAGTTAACTTCTGATCAAAAAGTACCAGGTTGTATTTCATCGATAAACCCATATATTATAAGATTTGCATCTATTTCTATCGTAATATGAACACTTTTCATTGAAATGAAAACAGATACTATCAGAGAATCCAGAACCGGTTATTTCGAATGAAAGTAGTTTATTTTATTCGAAAACTTATTTTTCGAAAAGAATTTAAAGAAAAAGTATGTGAGATTTAATTAGTTACTTTCTTAAATTCTAATTGTTAAGGTATTTTGGAGACTTTATCACTAAACAACACGAATTGCAAAACCATTGAGAAATGAGGAATGCCATCCAATCCAAATATTAAACGTCAGAAATTCCTACTCACTTCTTCCGATGGTATCCAGTTAAAACTTTTGGTTTGGAGCAAGTCGAGCAACACTCATCTAATGATTCTAAATATGATGATTGACGTATTCATATCTCCCACCTTGTATCATACAATCATTACTAAATATTATCAGTGTACAGCTCTCTCTTAGAACGAACTAATCAAGCTTCGTCACTGAACTCAACACCACGTATTACACTGTTTGTGCAGTCTCAGTTACCCAAAGTCCCTCCGTATAATGTTAGAAAGTAAGCAAAATCTATCTATTCCTCTTAGAATGTTTTGCATATCTGCAGATCAGGCTCCAGGTAGTTTACAAGTGCGATTGTACACTACCCAAAGATATTATTACTTTACAAAGTGAAACAGTCGTCAACCCAATATTGTTTAATTATAACAATCAGCATTTTGAAAATATATTAATTTCACTGAACATTCTTTTTCCTCGACATATGAATAGAAACTTTGCTAGTATTAGAAAAACTTAAAAGCATATGATGAGTTGTACAATCTTTCAAATCATTTATAAATGTAAAGCACGTTGATTATGTAAATTGCTTACTTTGTTTTATGAATACGGAATGTCTTCACAAGAGATACTATCTATATTGTGTGAGTCTACCAATAAATATTACTGCTTTCTCTTATGTATTCTTACATAAGTTCATGCAGTTTGACCCAAAAATGAAGACTTACCTTTCTGGTACGTTGGGTTAATCAGACATAAGCCAAATAATAAGTGAGAAATGTTGACGCACGCACTACTAGTCAAGAATTAACTAACCGTTCTGGAGAAACGAACATACACTGTTAGTTAGAAATGAGATTTAATTTTCTGAAGAACATGTACCTATATCTGCGAATAAGTTGTGCTTGGATTTTCGATTGGGTTAGCCAATAAAAGTTTCCTACTCATTTTTGATAGTATCACTCCTACAGCTAGCTTGGAGACATATACGAAGCGTATACATCAAACGAACTCTACTTTTCCTATTTTCGAGACCCAGAATTGATAAGTAGTGAAAAAATCAAAAAAAGGTTACAATAGTATTATTTTTATTTCACCTCCAAAAAAGGAAATCCCAGTTACATACTAGTAGAATTACTGCTGGTACCACTACAAGGAGTAAGTAGTGACAGTAGCAAAAAGTTACCAAATAACTGTATTATCTATGCTATATATATATATAAAGAGGAGAAACTTAATAAAATTACCAGTAATCATGATTATAAGACTAGTTATAGAAAGATAATCATTGTTGGTAATATTGCTCGTTAACTTTGAGATCCCTCGCCATAATAGAAAAAAAACCATTGCATGTATACGATAGTAATTAGTAAGTAGTATTCTTGAAATATGAAGGAAACTATATATTCAAAGCGAGAAAGAACATAGTGAAAATAAACTGATCTGTATGATGATGTATTAGAGTAATCAAATGATGAGTAAGGTTGTCATGAACAATAAAGATGGTATATTTAAAACAGTACTCGTTCTTGAGCATAATAGATTGCTTTAACTACGGAGAGCAAATAATAAAAAAAATGATTATTTTAGTTTCTATAATGCATATTATTAGTAAAGAAATTAATGAAACTTAATGATCAGTAATATAGTTTGTTATCATTATCGAGTTGTGATATCAGCAGGGTTCAAATTAGTTGAATCAACTAACATTTTAGTGATAATAAAATATATTTTTTTCTTACATTTGCAGGAATTCATTACACGCGCTGTATGAGAATAAATGTATTTCTTATGTTAATATATAACTGTAATAAAAATGAAATGTTTGCAAAAAATACTGGATCATCAAAGAGAAAATAATAAGTATTATCTGTATTTAGTATTGAGTGAATAAAGTCCAGTTTCGTTTTCGTTAACTGGTTTCTGTTTGTTCTGATAATTCTTTATACAAGGCTACAGTGAATATTGTTAGAAGAGAGGGAAGGGCATGAATTTTTACAAGATGAATTGGTAGTTGGCAGTAATTTGTGTTGCAATCTGTTTCTTGTTGCTGTCGTCTTCATTAAAACCACAGCCACGAATACCAGAGAATTCTGTTCATAAAAGCACTTTTTAAGATAATTTTGAATCATATACACATACATAGTACACGTCCTGTATTGATGTTATTGTTTGAACATGTAATTGAAATAAAGTTAACAATGAATTAAAAGATAAAATTTATTTTTAAGGAAAAGAAGCACACAATCCATGGTTTACTCTACGGATAAAACCATCACAAATTTTCCACAGTTCTGTTAGTAATTCTAAATCCATTAAATTCTACTGTTGTTTTGTTTCCCAACAAACAAGTACATATTAACAGTTCACTGATTATTAATCAAAGAATTAGAAAAGTTTGCTTTTTTCTTGTTTTTCTAATAAATCCTTAACATAAAATATTTTCCAAAGATTTTTTCTCAATGAAACAAATTCAATGTATAGAATGGCATAAAATTATCAACGTCGAGTTTATATTTCTTATTTTGTATGGAAATAACTATAAATAGTTGGCAAAAATATAAGGAAATAAAAGCTAGGAAAAGAACAATTCACAGCAGTCTTTGAAGATTAACATAAAACTCCTATCTATGTGTATGTGAATTGAAGGATGAGTTGACAGTGCTTTGTTGTTTTGTTTCTTATAATTGTTACATTTTACTAAGGAATCCAGGTTTTGGAATGCCACTTAGACTGCCTGTTATTGTACCAATTATCGATCGTGTTGGACTACTTCCTATATCAGGTCGAACAGCTTGAGCAGTTTCTTCCATCTATAATAAAAATAGTGAAAAAATTATTGTTCTTCTGCATAGAACACAAAGATCTTTTTAATAAAAGAAAATAATCAAATTCAATTTCACTTAAACAAAGTTATATCCATCTCTTCAGGAACTAGTTTACTTAATTGTTATTTTTCCTTAAGATTTATCATAGACTCATTTTAAAAACTAACTTTGAATATTGTAAAGAATATATATTGAACATTTTACTTGTTGAAGACTTGTTAACGAGTTTATCATGAAATAACAATCATGGTTATGTTTTCAGAAGCTTATTTTTCTAATTGGAAGCAATAGCTATATGTTACATGATTATTACATAACATAAATAGTATTATCAACGGAAGAAGTTGAATGATAAACATTCAATGAAAAGTGTATATTGTGATGTCAGAGTTACTTTTTCTTTAATAAATAAACTTATAGTATTTTTTCTTTTAGGAAAGACCGATTGTTTTCTGTACGTGCTTAGATTCGGTTGGATATTATTCCGTCTTATACTTATTCTTATCTGTGTAAACATCACTATGTACATTGTGAAACAATAAAGTAAATAGTTTATACTGACAAATCATCATTATGTTTACCTGTCTAGTGGTTCATGCTGACTGATATTTACATTTTACTAGACATTATACAAGGAATAACATGAATTTATTGAATCCCTTGGAATTCATATAAAAAATTTTACGTTTTATATATATATATTACCGTAATAAATACTACAAAGTAACTAAGTACATTGAAAGATCATATAAATTAAAAAAGAAGAGGCATAATTAGGGTAATTCTGCAAGTAAAAAAGTGAGGAATATCTCATCTTATTATACATGATCTCATAAATATGGTTGAAGCCATGAATAAATTATCACTTTTTGAAGAAGTATAGGATTCTGGGAATCATCAATATGTTCATTTCGAAATAACCTGCCTTTGGTTAATTCATGAATAAAGGCAAGATAGGAAGGGAGTTCTTAGTAGCCTAGTATTAATCCATGTAGGTTATATAAACTTAACCTAAATCTTTTCAAGTGAATGAACTATATATTGTTGTTAAAATTTGAAGATAGCTTGGGCGAAAGGATAATGTAAAAGTGAGGTCAGAATTGAGAAAACGATATCTGGGCTTCAGTACCAGCTTCAAAAAGAAATAAGCTTTGTTTTATATCGCGTACAGCAAGCAGAATAAATAAGTTTAAGCAGCACTAAGAATGCTTAAAGTGATAATAAGAAATCTTTTACTACCAGAGAGTGGAAGTGGTGATGTAAAACGTATCAAATGCTCGATTTTATGTAACATACTAATCCTGTCCCTAAATTCTAACTTTGAGCCCTTAACATTTAACCTTTACCCTAAATTCACAATTCTAACCAGGAATAATGATGAAACTTCAGGAAATCTGCGTCTTCATGAGTTTGATAGGACAGATAATCGACAAACATTTGGAGGGATTTAGAATATATTTACCCTTTATAATTTTGTTGTTTATTTCCCTTAAACTATCCGTTAACAAAAGCTACCACCTGACAAACAAACAGCTGGCTGAAATTCTCGTTTGTTTCAAGATCATCTTTATAATATTACCACAAATTATTTGAGAAATTCCCGTAAACTCGATTACAATTTAATATTATGGGATAACCGTGATGTAACTGACAGAAGAGAAATTCTCAATTGTGAGTAAAATAATTCATGACACCAAAAAAACTTAACTATACCCTGAATTTGGAGGATACAATTACACTTAATCCCGACATAAACTTCTGAATATCAGAAAAATTAATTATTGCATTTGGATTATTATTATTATTAAAGTTAGACGTTAACACCATTGGATACTGACGTAGTGGTCTAATCTAGAGGTTGATCGTTCGCGTGTGAAGCCGAAGAACCTCCGTTCGATTCGCACTGGTGAGGAGTTCCATACTAGGACAAAACGGTCATCTAGTGCTTCCAAGTTTCCAGTGGTGGTCTAACATAGATTAGTTCATGATTTAAATGAAATTCAACAATCTCCACAACGCCTTACTGAAGATTACCAAACAGTAAAATAAATTTATATCAAGAAACAATCACAACTGATACTATGTGAAAATGAGATAACATACTTGAAGTCTTTGCATAATTGTTTTGTAAGCCATTGTATCCAATGCATCTGGGCTTATACCTTGAAGTTCAAAATCGGAATACATTTTCTAAAACGTTATATTATCAATAGAAGAAATAGGTGAATCTCATAAATACTTAATTTAGTAAATAATTATTTGCAAACACAAATAGTTAATATAGAATTATGATATAAATTATTTCAGAATATAAAGCTACTTTAAAAGCTGTTATAAAAAAGGTTTTAATAAACCGTCTTCTCATCGTTTAAGAGATGTTTCTGAAAAAAGGCCTTTCGAATACCCGATGGTATTATCAAGCTTACAGTGAAATATGGAATTAAACTGAATAAGCTGTTTTCAAAAATGAAATCTGGCAGAAGAAATAAAAAGACGTAAATAAACTTTCGGAAGAAATAAAAAAATGTTTCTACTAGTAAATTTAATATCTATAAAGCACTCAATAAAAGTCAGTTGTAGATTTATTGACATTAAAAATTATTTTTTATATCCAGTGTACATGAACACCAATTTGTTTGAATTCTTATCACAATTTAATTATGTTTATATGATATAACACTGTAGGTTGTTTACTTTACAACAACTGTTTCGTTAAAAAATACCAATTAACCAGTAAGGGCAAAGAGAGACAAACAAATTTCAACATGACAAAACTAATATCTCTGGAGGTATGAATACCAAGGTTGAACTTGATCATTTTAAATAAATTAAGCATTAGGTAGAAAGTCAATGCAGAATGTGCATTGCTTCCTTTGTACTATTTAAACTTGTACTAATTTAATTAGGCTATTTAATTACCCTAAAGAGTGGCTTACATTAAGTTACGAAGAGTCAGAAATAAAACTTTTCTATTCATTTAGATACAACAAAAATATATTTATGAATATCTGTGGACAAAATTTAGACGTTTTCACGTTGGAAGAAACACCTGGTATGGATAATAGAATAAAAAAGAAACAATCAATTGAAATCGATAAGAATTAGTTGCCTAGGTGGTGATTGTAAGCATATTAATAATAATAGGATAATACAATGAATTATTCTATGTAGATTTTTAGTTATTTAATAATAAGTTATGTATTGTTAGTCTGAAGAATAGTAAGCGTAAACTGGTAGTCATATGATGTAAATAATAAGCAATTTGACAAATAATAGCTATTGCCAAAAATATATATTATATAGCCTCATATCAAAAACTTTCAGTAACACTCAAATATTACGTAAACAATATCATTAAAAGTCAGTGTGTGTAGAATGAGACTAGAAGTAGGTAAATTGCTTAATAAATTATTTATTATTTCAATCTGCATAATAAATATTAATAATACAATGTGCTCTACTCAAAAGTGAATGAACATTTTTAAACAAGAGAAAGAGAAACAAGTATCCGATGTTCAATAGCGGCACATCAACTTATAATCAATAGAGATATCACTGACAGTTTTAAATAATAACAATAACTTTCGTTTATGAGAGTTTATATTTTTCTGTTATTGATATTCAAAACTGCAACTGATCAGTTTCTATTGCCATATATCAATGGTGAGCAGATTGCGTCAATAAAGACGTTTAGTCACAATTAGTTATCAAAGTTAGAGAACCCGATTAATCGAAGTTCTTAACATCAACAATGGGGAAATGAAAACTCTTATTAATAGTTGCACATCCGTTGAACATTTTAGTGAATATCTGAACATACTAACTAAGTGGATAACGAGTTAGGCAATTGAACTAATAGGTAGAAAGTTCGACTTTCAATATGAGGATCAACATTCATACACAAGCACATTCGGCAGACGAATCCCAAGTAAGATGAAACCAATGTATTGTTTCCCACTATTAGCCACTGTCCAACTTTAATAATCACCTTAACTTTTATCTAACAAAACAACTTGGTGGTGGAACTCAGGAGACATTTTTCAACTTTTTTTAAAGAACTCTTATTACTGAATGTAACTGTATTGTAAAACTTGGAGTTTCGAACGTAAAATCTTTTTATTTCTAACGTTTACTGATTTTAAGAATAAATATATTGAAAGTTAGTCACAGCGAGAAAATAATAATATTCAAGATTCCGGTTATTCCAATTCAGAATAGACCAACTAAAACCATTAGTAATATTCTATAAATTTAATAAAGAATGTGATCATGGCTATTCTCAAAGTGTCCATGGAAAGTTTATTTACCAAAAAATCTTGAATAAACACTCCAGTTTCATCAAAATGGACTAATAGGAAATCTCCTGACTCGACTTACAACTATTAATGTATGAATTCAAATGTAAAGTATACTATAGACTTCAAACAATTAGATTGGCTAATAAATTTTTCAATAAATGTTTGTTTGTATTGATAGTTAAATGTTGTATTTATGACTATCATCAAATCGATTCTGAATAATTACTGTCTATGTCTTTCAATTTCCTTTCATTATCTAACACTGCTTTGCTTGACAATGAAAGTTACCAATCTTCCAGTAGTCTTTAAGAATAGTCATCATAATTCCTTGAAATGTTTTAAGTAAAAAATTCTGATTACCAGAAATGTTGTTTATTTATTTATTTGAACACATTAATACTGGTACGAAGGGGCACCGAATACATATGCGTCACACGAGTCACTTGATTTGTGTGTGGGCCGGGTGCCCAGATCGAAGCAGGTGGTTTTATTAGAGGACCACAGCCTAAAGGTCTGATCCACAAGGCAGTGGAGCAACGTCAGGAGATACAGTCACATGTTAGCCGGTAACCAACAATTGGTTCATACATCATTTGTTCCTCAGGATCCTAGAACCCATGCGCACCATTGGTTTGGAATCAGGGTTTTCCGAATCCCCTAGATGGACCCTCCATATCAACCAACCCGGTTAAAGCACCGGACATTAGCTTCTCGTCCTGTCAATTTTTTAAACAACAGCCCCACCACGAGAAGATCGTGAGTAGGACTTCCCTGGCAGGACTATATACGCGTGGCATGTGAGAGCATTTCGAGAGGGGGAGCGGATTTCCCCCACCCTCGGCCGTACCAGGGCATTTGGGGACCGTTTTGTGTAAATAACTAATTTATGAAAAAATAAACTGTGTTTTGTAAGCTGGATTATTTTGTTATGAAGCTTCCTTCGTGAATATCAATGGTGATAATAAATCCAAATTAAAGAAATAAGAAGGAGAACACGTTTGTCATTTACCAAATCATTTTACCATGATTAGCTAGCGAGAAAGTTTCAAATTATTTATTTCCATTTAACAGTCGAGGCATTTGATATAATGCTTAAAGAATACATTTAATGGTCAGGTTTTAATTGATTGGCTAATAAGTGACCTACAAACTAGGTTCTCAAAACTGCCTGTGATATTGGATTATGTTAATTTTGTATCCATGTTTTGTACACAAGGCTGTTATTTTGATACTAGAAAAATCTGTTAATATGCCTAATAGTCTTGACTGTAATTTTTTCAACATTAGTGAGCTTAAGTTATTAATACGATCTCATAAGTGGTCATTATTCGACAACATTTCAATTTGTTCATCTATTCAATAATTTTAACAATTGAAAATGTTGTCTCATCAAAATACTACAATACTCAAAATTGTATACTTAATAAAAATGTGGCAGTACGTTAGTCCAAGCAGTGTATATACGCACAATATATCGCTAAAAACTAATAATCTAAGAAATAAAATATTTTTCAATTTCTTTTTACATAACAAAAAACAATGGATTTACTCACTTTAATAATGGTAGAAAGACATGTGAATTGATAAGGACTTAAAGCATTTCCTTTACGTTCAATAAGCCAATCATTGATCATTCGTGTTTGTGTCATATACCATGTCTTTTTATAACAAAATAAATTTTTTAAAAAAAACATTAATTTAGAAACGAAAAAGGAAAAGATGAATAATCATGGAATATCACGGAGTAAACAGATAAAAATCACTTTGAAATGATTTTACCTAATCTAAAGATAAGAGACATCTCCTTCCTTTTTAAATGAACATTTTTTAAAAATCAAATAAAGATATAAGTGGTTAGAATTTTTCGACAATTTTCAAGAAATATCCTTTAAATATAAACATGAAATGAAGGCAGAAATATATATTATGTCTAGGTGAACTTGAATTTCTTAGAGTTTACAGAACAGATGAAAATTATCATAGTGTTGTTTTGAAGTTTTAAATACTAATTGTTTCACTAGTAATAGACTATAGTTCTTATATTAGTTAAACAGAATGATTGTTATTTTTTTTTTTTTTTTGGATCGAGAAAGTATTTAACGACTGTAGTCTGACCCTACTGGACTTATACAATTATTTGAACTGAAATGAAACCTCAAAAAGAACGTAACACTAAATTGATCCAAAGCATCAATGTTTATTACAAATACATACACATAAGATAGTGAAATAGAATTTTTCTTGAAAGCAACTTCATTTATTTGAAGTAATATGTGTAAATAAAGCACAAGCTGACTGGAGATCCTCTCTAATAAAAACAGAAATACAAGTACACTTGGAAAGCTATTTTTATTATTATTCAGAAGACCTTAAATGTGCTAATTATTTTCATCTTATGATTCATTAACCAGAAACTTACGTAAAACCTTACAAATTTCTGATTGTCAAGAATATCTGTACACTGTTATATGCTTTCTTTAAACCGTTATGTTTAAACAGAAGTGTAGATTGTAAAGTAAACAAACAACGGTCACGGCCTCGAACCATACATATTTATTGTAACAAAAACCAGCTGATATATATGTTTACCTTTTAAATACGTATACAAGAAAAACGTTATCAGTATAAAAAGTTTGTGGACACTACTAATTTTTATAGCTTGTATTACGAAATGATCTTAATAAAACAATGTCTGGAAAAAATGTAAACACTGGACAGGCGTTTTATCGTAGTATAAGATTTCTCCTTAGTAGAGGGATCTACGATTTTGTTGGTGATGAAACTCAGGACACAAAGATCTCGTGGAGAGCGCTTAGCCACTGGCCTGCTAAGTAGATGTTCAATGATTTACTTCCCTAACTACAATCAGTTTGAGCACTATCATAAATGCTCGTCTAACTAGGATCAATTTTCAACGTGAACTATTAAAAGATCAACACCTTCGAACATTACTTTATCCATTGATTTAGTCTTTAAGATTTAAGCTAAGTTATTCTACATGTTATTCAATCTTGGGTTCCAGAATATAACAAAGGTATATGAGTTATAAATGAAATAGTGCTAGTAATGATAATAGTAAGGTGAAGTCTTATAACTAGAAAATAAACTCAATCGGAAATGACCCAGCACCATTGTATGGACTAAATAATCAAGATTTTTCTTCGTATTACTGTTACTACTACTACTGGTTTTAGAGTTTAATGTTATATGTAATTATAGTCAATATTCTACAGTTATTTGTTGTTCCCTTTATTGTGAATATTTTCAGTATAATTCTCTTCCATTACAGTATTTCATTTTATTCTAATCTTGATAAAAAAATGTTAAGCTAAGCGAGAGATAGTAGAAAAAGAAACACTGAATAAATTTCTACATAATTATAAATTAATTTTGACAAGGCACTGTACAATACTCACTCTATATAGGATTTGAAGGAGAAAGTTTTTTATCAAGTACAGGACTATGAATATGTTCACATGTTAAACTGAATAGGTCTTTAGAATATGTAAGGCCACGTTTATACTGAGGTCAAGTTGAGTGGAATTAGTCAGTTTATGTAAAAAAAAAAATTAAAATTTCCAATAGATTTGGAACTAAAGTATGCAAACACTAAAATTATGATAAACTTTTACATCTCACTTTACGTGAATATAATGATGAAATATCATGTTCCTCTAAAATAAATTTTGTTTGCAAAAAAAATAAAGTTCATTCTTAATTGTGATAATATATTACTTTCTGACAAGAATAAACGGTATAGCAATGAAGCAAGGGAAATAAGGGAGAAAATTGAAGGCTTGATTCCACTTTTGCATGCATAAGAAAAGAAAACAGGACTGATAACTGAAGTGACACAAATACTTATTTGATAGGTAGATTTCGAAGATTAGTGATTGGATTAAATGAAAAGGTTACTTGAAATTTAACGAATCAAATCCTTACGTAACTCCAGCTTCTTTGTTTCAATCTTTTCTGTGCATAAAACTTATAATAATTACCAACTGAAGAAGTATAATAAAATTTTTTATTCTTCACATAGAAATGAACAGAAACCTAAAGCAATATTCTCTGTATGACTGTGATTATTTATGCATTGAGTTATTTGACTCACTAATGTATCATAAAATAAGTGAACAATATATTTATAAATTTATTTCAACTGGAATGAAAAAGTCAACCTATATATATATATATATATATATATATATATATATATATATATATATATATATATATATACTAACATAATGGGTTACTGTTTTAAACGTTTGCTTAAGGTACAATCTTCCTTGATTATTTTAAGATTTTGAACCAGTTTGGTCATATACAATGAAGTAATATAAATCTTTAAAAAAGCAGCTTGTTATACTAGTAAAACTCCTTTTGAAGAAAACACAACTTACTTCCATGATTGATAAAATATACAGTTCATCAGAGACTTTTTGACGCATTTGTTCTAAATTGACACGAAGAAACTCAACATATGCTTTGCCAATTTCATCCGTAGGTTTCTTGGGAAAATATGGAGAAAAAAAACAAATGAGAAAATGGCTACACAGATAACATTTTATTCTGATTCTATTCCTCATCCTCATATAGAAAAAACTTTAGAGACAAGAAAGTTTACTGTTATTTAGTGAGAAATCAATTCGCATTTGAAAACATTAGGTAATAGTATGGTACTAATAGTCTGAATTAAAAAGGCACATATATCTCAAAGTCACCGTCTCATTTAAAATATTGTTTCCAAAGTCATGAAAAATGCATAGTGAAGAAGCAATCTGAACCTACAAAATGTCTCTGCAAACAAGCTTATTTTAAGCACTCAAGCACAATAGTATAAAAACCTGGCTCTCATTTTAGTTGGGACTCATCACCAGGAAATATTTGAAAGTTCTTATTTAGAAAATTGACGTTTTCTGTGGGGTTTAAGTTCATATCATCTAGTGCTAGAGCTAAAGATGTTACCACCGAGTCACAACAGTCGACCATCACTTATAACAAAATAAAGCCATATCGTTTACTCACTAGTGTCATTTAAATCCTACTAATAAAATCGCAATCTATCCATTAACATAAGGAATTTCGATTTATTTGAACTATTTAATATTAAACGAAATACAATACTCTGCTTAGCTACCAAGCCTAGTGACTCCACATGATGACTTGACCCACAAAATTTAATCAGCACTAAGGGTTGGATAATATCAAACCATTTAACATTAGTTAGTATGAGTAAAACACTTTAACACTAAATTTCTCCAAGTTTAGTTAGGGGCCAAGATCACCGGTCATCACACAGAACTTATAAAATTCCGAATGAAAATGAGAATGTTTGGGGATTTCCATACCGTTAATTCATTTTAAATGCATTAATAGAAAAAACAAACAATTAATCTGTAACCATTAAAAGCGGTAAAGCAGTTGTGTACGTGCTATTAACTCTTTAAGTTAAAATCTTTCGTTTCAAGTATCCTCTTTTAATGAATAGATTCAAAGGAAATTTTTGTATAAACCCATTGATTTTGAGTCATTCGTAATTTACGAGTAACTATGAAGATTACTACTAACTAATTTATAAGTACTCTTAATCACAACATACAATTCAAATTAAACAATGATTTTGCTTCAGAGTTTCATGCTTTATAATCACTTGAATAGTCTTTTTCTGTTCAATTTATTTTACTAGAAGTAACTTATCCATAATAATGACAAGCAATTGAAATGCGCCATTAAAAAATCTCAGTAAAAATTGAATTTCGAATATATATATATATTGGTTTGATAGGGATGAACAGTAGAATTCTAAATGCAAGTTTTATTCTTTTAGCAGTCAGTCAGTTGAATTTATTTAAATTCCGAACAATGTACATATTTATCATCATTGAAATTTGTGACTGCAAGACAACACTATAAACGTAAACGAGAGACAGTTACAATGTGATGAATGAATCTTATATGTGATAGATGGAAAAAAATATTTTAAGCACTCGAATTGGTAGAAACACATTTTTATTTCAAGTAGATAGACGATAGTGACTGTCGAAAACATTCATAAAAAAGTATGTTTTCAAACAATTACAATTTGAATGCACATTAAACAGAATTACATAACGAGGACCAAATACAAATACAAAGGAAAATGTTTATTTATTAAAATTTACTTGTATTATATAATACACTTTATAAACACTTAAATGCATTTTGTCATTATATATGTCAGCATTATCATTTTTTAATTCATATATACGTTGATACTCTAATGTTATTAATCATAACAGTTGATCAATATCGTTTTGAAGATAATCATTTCTAATTTTAACTACGTAATATGATGAATCATAATGATAAATATGAATTTGAATTATGTTCTCATATATATAGTATACTACTTAAGCAGACGATATTCACAACTAGTTAATTAACTGTAGTTATCTTAAGAGTTATTGCTTACTAGAACTGATAATTACCGACCGTTACTGCTGCTGGTGGTCGAGCTTGTCTATCGTGATGAACCAGTCGAGCTATACTGGCTGGAACAGTCAATCCTCAAGGTCCTACCATGCCAGATATGTCGGTTGAAGAGCGGTAAGACTAAAAGTAACAAACCCAAGGTCCGAAGGCGAAGTCTTACTGCTGACTGTACAGAGGTGTGACGGCAGTATGGTGTTACCTTCAGATAACCAGCATAACAGCGATGCTGCCTTCCCACACAAAAGGCTGAGATTAGAAAAGGTCGACCCTAAAAATGCACATCTCGCGTTATCCAGCGGATATCCGTCTCCTGCAGTAAGGTCCCAACAAGTACGGAACTAACACGTAAATTACCCACAAAAAGGTTGTGTGTGACCGACCTCAAGTAGTTGTCCCTTGGGCACTGTGGTCACGCTTTCAGGTCACTAAGACCACCTCTAATCCAAGTTCCTTTTCAGGTAATAGAAATTATATTTTTACAATTATCATCACTGTACAAATGAAGAAAAAGACAAATTCATATGTTCGCCGAAACAAAAAACACACAAGTAGAATGAATGATTCCACGACATGAATGGAATAAAATTAAAGATGCAGATGAAAATTTAATGTAGCTATCTGTATAATTGTATCTTGGGATTTTGATTTTGTTTTACAGAAATCGAACTATGAATAATTAAGATATTACTAACGAATACAAACATTATGATACAATACAAAATCATAAACACATAGAAAACAAAGAATACAAATGACGATGAGGGAAAAATATTTATATCTCTATACTTATGACTATTTTATCGGTCTACATATTACTGTTTAACTCGTTTGAATAATATATTTGAAAACCAAAAAAGGAAAAGAAAGTGCCAGTTTAGGCGATTAAATTGTTAGAGAGCATAAATTTCCCTGCATATAATTATGTCACAAGTTTAATAAAAACAAACCGGAATATATATTAATTGACCTTAAGAGTAAAACAAAAATAATCTTGAGATTATTTTTTCTCGACCTAAATTATGTCAAAAAAATAATGAATTCATGATAATACGAGAAAAAAATCTCTTTTTTTCAATTTTAATCTTCTAGAAAGTTATGTTCCCCTGTAAGGTATCATCTGCTTCATTGTTTGTTCTCCTTTCTTTTTTTTTGAAACTCTTCACGAATAGGTCAAAAATTTATGACGAGAAACAGAAAGGGAAGGAAAGCTATACAACATCACCTGTGAATAATATGGAAAAAAGAATTCCACTTACGACCAGTAAATAATTTTAAAGGAGGATATAAACGATAAATTAAAGCAAGAGAAAACAACCTAAAATCAAGTATTACAACAAAACTTAAAAATATTCACCAAGATGATACATGTATATTTGACAGTGAGAATAAATAGGTGAAAGCTATTCACAGTATACTCTATTGTGATCAATGTTAAAAGTTTTAAATCATAAATTTTGAAATAAATACAGTGGATATAGTTTTCGGATCATGAATAAGACTGTAATAGTTCGTAAAGATTGGAATTTCTGATCATCGAAGTTAGTACTTTAAAGTTCAGTATTTTTTTGATGATGCATATTGTGTGAAATAAATAAAAAGTTTGCAAAACTCAATTTTACCGAGCACAATTATTTAAGAAGATATGATTTTACATTGAAGAAATATAAATAGAAAAAGGCAAAGTTTTGTAAGATTTGGAAAGCATAATATTAAGTTTAAATAAAGGTTTTGGAGTTTTCCTCATGATCTGTACTCTTTATCTAACTTTTCGTTATTCAAATTATCTTAATTAGTTTAGTATTGAGAGTCAACAACAACCGTAGGTGATAAGTTATTAGAGTAGAATGGCAGCAGTAATACAAATGAGCATAAAATAACATCTGTTGCAATAACTTTATCTTTAACATGGTTCACAAAAACACGTTATTATGGTTTAACATTTATAGAATTAAAACAGAGAAAACTGACTGACCGGATGTAGATAAAATTAATTATAATAATGACAAAATAAACAAAGACCAATTACTACCAACTATTGTTATTATTCTCATGATTACTAATGTTAACAATTTTCGTGTAGTAATTAAAATATAGACAAATTAGCATAATGTAAAATTTAATGATAGTATAATCAGATATATGAGTTGAGTTTTAGATGGTGTAAACATATACAACATGCCGGTTTTTAAAGGTACACAAAGAACCCTGCCGAATACAAATGAGTAATTTGAAAAAGATTTTTCAAATATTTCATCTTATTCATTTGATTATCATAAACTCTGGAAATGAATTACGATTCGATGACATCGCAAGTGGATTTGCACCAGCAATGGGTGTGATATCAGGTTACATGAATCGTTGCGTACCAAATTAAGGTTTCAGTTACGGTGCTTCATCTTATTATTTAATCAACCCACATATTAATTTTTAACTTATATCAATAGTTAAGTGAATCAAACAATGTTGTTGTAGATAACCTATGTGCTTTACACTCGGTTACTCTTTTCTTTTCGAGTCAGATCTCTGGGTTAGAATTTGTTATATCTTGAAGGTTGATTTCTCGATATACCGCATATAACTGAGCACTAGAACACCAAAACCCTTCCAAGTCGTAGTAAGAAAACTAAGGAAAAGAATATTATTCCAAACAGTGTCAATCATAGTATAAAATTGTCAGGTATTTATAGTTTTTAGTAAGAACGAAACCACCATTACAGTCCCCCAATCCACATACAGGGAGTAATTAGCATTATCCAATCGTGAAGCTACACGTAGGAATTCTAGAATATTCTTCCGAACGGTGATTGGATGGAACGTCTCTGGCTCCTTCTGAGCCTTTTACAGCTTCCTCGAGTTTACTGGTGGTCCGTCATCACAGAATTATAGCACAGTTCGCAGGATAGCCAGTGTATCATTGAAAAACCAAATGGATACAACAACAAGCCATGACAGTAAACGAATAATCCAATGAAAAAATTCCCTTTTCTACGACTTCATTTCAAAAGCTACAGTTGAATCTCTGACTGTTAATCTCTTATATATCTCATAAATTTTAGACAATCTCATAATCTAACTATTAAATATTATTTTGTCTTATTTATTATCATGAATTGCAGTCCATGGTATCTACTCATTATATGCAAACATACATATGCAACATACAAAAAAATTACTTGTCACAATTATTATTAAAGACAATCATCACTCTACAGATGTTTACAAAACAAGTATCCAAAAGAAATACGAAAATCTTCTTTCTGCTGAAATATTTGTTTTATTTTTCCGAATGAGAATTGTGAGTTCTAATTTGCCGAACGATCGGTTATTTTGAAGCAACTCATGATTATTTGAATATTTACTAATTACACCTATCATGTTAAACAAAGAGATAATTAGAAAACCAATCAGGATAACAAAATCACTTCACCTATTATTATTAATTTAACTGACATTATGAAGTTTACATTCAGTGAAATATAGTTTTATAAAGAAAGGCTATTGAAAAATCTAAAGTAGCTAGATGTAATCCATGATATATTGACAGGATTTATACAAATTAAATGCATCAATTGTAAATCCAATTGCATTTTGATTGTTAACCAAGTAGTTTATAAAACAATCATTAAAATTTTACATTTGAGTATAATAAGTTTTTATTTAAATATGGTAAATAAATTAAATTATATACATATGAATTTATTTAATATACTTACAGTTAATGATAGTACTGATGAAAGTAAAGTATTCACATCATAACGAGCTAGTTTCATTAAATTTCCTTCCAATATTTTACCCATTTTATCATTTAATAATATTGCCATTTTTCGCTGTACACGTTCTAAGTTAGTTTCTGTTTGATTTTGATATTCATGCTATTTAAAAGGATAATTAAAACATACATATATATGAGAATAATAAACATATACTAATTTGTATAGAAAAATGTTTATATACATTTATTACATGACAATAACATACTACTTTTTTATCTTATTCAAGTAATACATTATTTTAAATTATTAAATACGTTTATTTAGGGAAAAATGTATGTATTTAGATAGATAGATAGAAAGCTAAAAATGAATGAAAATAAAGTTGTAATCAAGAACATGTTTTTGTTAAGATAGAAAAACAAAACAAGAATCTTAATTTGTATAATTAAATATACGTAAAAAAGTTTGTAGAATATTTTCAAGTCAAAAGAGAAATTCTTATCAGTACATCAAAAAAAAGAACCATGTAAATCAGCGTTATTGTAGAAAAAAGGGTTTAAGTTATATTATCAATTAACATGAGTTAGTAACTTGAATTAAGTTTATTGCCTTACAGTTTATCGTGAACGATTCTAATAACAAAATAATATACATCATGACATATCGATTACTTTTATATTGTAAAATGAAGATTGATTTTGTTTAATAACTTAAACAAGGAAGGCTTAAATTAGTTATGTCATTCAGTGTTAACTTATCAAAAGACTTCAGTCAGTCAGTAACAACTTAGAACTTCGTACGTACGTACGTCAGTTCGAGTTGCCATACAACATTAGCATAGAGATGCAGTTGTCGATTCAAATCCCACAGTGGTATAGGTAGTAAGAGTATAAGCAGTAATCCGAAAGATTAGGGTTTGAAGATGTTATTCAAGTAGTATAATACAGTGAAATAAATTTGAAAAGAGGAAAAAAGGGACATGACCAATTCAGAAGATTAGAATTCGGGAGAACACAAAGAGTGGATGCACCTGAGCCATTGCAAACGATTTTGAGCCATGTCATTCAAGGTCTCTAACCATCAGTTGATATCATTTCGCAGATCTCAACCAGGTTACTCTACACCTACCAACATGGCTCAGTCCACTTGTCAGTGACTTCATGGATTTGTGCCATGTTTTGGTCTGGTCGTCCCATCAAAACTATTTTTTGTGAAGTCTTTTTAAAGTGAAATCAAAAGGTTTTGTAAAAAAAACTGTTTAAAATAACAAGCAAATTATCTGGAATATTGTATCCACATATTTGGTCAAGAGTATTATGAAATCATAGAAATAGATACAAGCCTAATGAGTAGAATTTAACGCATGGATATGTACAACAAAGACGTCATAAACATCTAATTATGCCACGTTTGATAAAACTGTTAACCTATTAAAAACTAGTATGTCAAAACCAAACATTGAAAGAAAGGAGCAGAAAACATCAACATTTATACATTCAATAACACAAATAAGTAAAAACAAAGTTTTCATGTTTAAAATAACCACAATAAGACTAACCATATCTTCCCCTTTAGTATCTTTTGTACATAATTTCAATATACTTGCTTTTAGTTCAATTACAGTGTTGATCATATTACAGCATTCATTAGGTAGTATAAAATCTGTGCCTTTCGATGAACGTTTCAGCCATGAATCAAAGCAATTTAAATTACTATTGGAAGTAAACAGTACAAATATTATTAGTTCTTTCACGCTTACTTTTACAAAATAACATGTAATAAATAAAAACGTATTTAATTGTAACACTTATTGTAAACGATTCTATGCAACATATCTGTACCAAACGGAATACCAATCAACCTATGATATGACAAGCTCACTGAACGGTGATTCACTTTCTGTAAATTAAAGACTAATATATGATCTATGCAGGTGATAGACAGGGAAAGTCTAGTATTTGTTACCTTTTTTCAATGCATTGAGAGATTATTACCAAGACTGAGATGGTAAATTGGCTGGTTGGGCTGCGAATCTTCATCAACTAAAGTGGTTGGATATGCGTAACACATGAGTTATACAATGACTAGCCTGACGTTAATTGGTTGTAGGCAAATTTAGAAATGAAAGGAGGGTTATGGAACTGGAAACATGAAATCGGTGTATGGAGTCATTGAGTGTTAAAACAAGGGAGCGTTATGGTTTACTGAATTTTCAGTTGAGATTTAAACCTTGTGTATTATTATCATAGTGTTGCATGATAAATGTTTCTTTTCAAACTATAATCTTCATGCACAGTTTCCACCACTATTTTTATCATTATCATGAACATAAAACAAATAAAACAAAGGTTATTCGGTGATAAAGTGATGGATATTCTAAACTCCATTTGTGAAAAGTTCTATTAATAATATTAACATTAATAAAAGAAGACTAATAGAAATGTGTATTCCAGTAAAATGTGTTAATAAAAAAAAACGATTTCAAAATTAGTAAAAACATTCTTTTTAATTGTAATTTTATCATACTATAATTTCCTGAAAAACAAACTATACATTGAGAAGTAATGTAACTAAACATTGTCACATAACAGGAAATCAGATGATAATTTTTTTAGAAAGTTTAGTCAAAAAAATAAAAATGCAAATAGTCACCTTAATGTGATTCGTAAATAAACAACGTAAAGAATAGTTAACATAAAATATTACAACTAATTTGCAATGCTTCACATTTTATTGTAAGAATTGAAAAAAAAACTATGCGAATATTAGATTGCAATTATAATTGCCCATTAAATATTATTAGCTGTGAGGATCTCTAAATCGATTTTACTTTTGCTAAATTATTAGGTATGATAGTGTGGTTTGCTGTGAAGACCAGGAATTCTTATGTACTGGTGTTAAGATAAAGGAGAAGGAAAATGTACCATTTGAGGAGATATTTACACCTTAGCTAAGCAGCAATCAGTGTGGCCAAAGATTATGAACTTTTATGAAAAAGCAATGGGAAAATTCTATATTTTTATTCAATTATAGTAAGTAGAAAATAGTAGATACTGTTGAAATAATCAGGCAGATAGATAAATAAGATGGTCAAGAGAATATAAACAGATCTCCACGTTAATAAGAGAACAGATGAACAACTAGGAAATTGCCTTCGTTTTTGATATCAAGTGGTTACAGGTAATTGATAAGGTCCAGGATTCTTGTTAATACTGAAGAACATGACTCGAAAGAACTGACATTTGCTGTGAGGTTTAAATCCACATCACTTAGTGTTGAGTATGAGAGGATGTCGCTAAAATGTACGGACCAAGAAAAACCTCCTGTAAGTTCGAGATGCTTATGTGAAATGATCAAACTTTGTTAATCAACATCACATTATTTGATTTTTAATGTTGATTAAATTTAACCCATCACCTATAATCCCTTAACACTACTAAGCAAACTCATTGCATTTAGACATCGTGTTATTTAAACCAGTGGTAACAGTGCAATTTATTTGATAAAATCTGATTAACATTAACGACGAGACGGATAACACTCCTTATAACGAAGTGAGCAATCAGTCGAAATCGCTTTCAATAAAATATTAATATAAGGGATTCGTAGGGTTTATAGAATTTTAACAGAAGTTTAAAACACAAAATAAGTTATGTTGTACAAAATATATGATATAATTTACAATAATAAGGAAAAATGGAGTGAATTTGTTAATATAAATCTTCAATCATTATTTATCAAGCTTCAACTAGAAAGATCAACTTAAGATTGCCTGCATAGGAAATAGTTTTTCCCACAAAAACAATCGAACTAACGATCCATAAATATTGTTAGACAGTAATAGAAAATATCCCGATAACTCTAGCTCTCAGTGATTGTCAGTTGACTGCTTAACAGTTTTAGTTAAATATATAGTGTAGAATTGACAGAACAGCGAATGGTGATTGGATTATTGAGAAATATCATACGAAAAAAAGCGAACAAAAAATGTGTAAACTTTTCTAGTGAATAATAAAATAATTATGATTAGTAAAACATGTCTATTATTTGGGTTAAAAAGAAAATCATAATTAAAACATGAATTTCACGAAGAAAGAAAAGGAGAATAAACTGAAAATTATTTAATATGAAGACGATTGATCTTTTAATTAATTTTAACAAAAATGAACAGTTGAATTTTGAGAGAAAAAAATGAACAGAAACCATAAAAACAATGCCGCTCAGTTTGCTTTACTATTGATATTATTAATTAATTAATTAATTAATTGAATAAATACCAACCGTTATGATAATCATAAAAACTTGTGTTTTCCTTCTACTGCTTATTTCTAATAAAAAATGAACACAAAATGGGTAAATATACACACATGTACATAAAATTGACTGACATTGACTGGAGGAAAGATGAACACAAAATGATTATATAAATAGATACAGATGATAAACAGAGTGAAAGAAAACTTAAAGCAGTTTTATTTATTATATGGATTAGAGAATAATAATAATCGTGAATACGCTTTTGTATTTCATTAATTAAAAACTAGTTATAGTCAGGAGTATAATGTGTATTTTGTTAATTATGATTGGATATTAATTCGCCAGTACTTCAATTGATGATAATAATAATGGTAGTAATAATAATGCTAGGTTTGAAGCTATCACAAGTTCATTTAATCGGCGAACGAAAACAAGACTCTGTGACCAGTAAGCTGGTTATTGATGCGTCCCAGCCCCGCTAACTAGAGGGAGACGTCCAAACTTGGAATAGGAAGTATATTCTGCAAAACAGCCAAAAACGAGCGATAACGACAAACACAATTCAAAACGCACATATACAGTGCAAAACCGTCCTTGGGGAGAGAGTTACCAAATAGCATACTGAAAGACGCAACAAACCAATAGCATTTAAGATATTTCCCAATGGGAAATACGAAACGGTGACAAGAGTGCCTTTGGCGTGGAAACAAAGAAATTCAAATTTCCTAAACAAATTACAAAATTAGGTCCTTTCCCAAGTGAGTTCTGGGGATCTAACGTCCCCAACAAATAATAATCTAATTCCCGATGGATACAGGTACAGACTCAAAGATCAAAAGTATTGATATTAGCTTTACTCCATTGCTCTCGATACACAATAAAGCATTCTATCAGTAGGACACAGTTAATGGACAACAGGTAACACATATAACCATGTTTGACAAACAATACTTTACTATATTGTGCTATATTCAGTGAGTAAATATTCGAAAAAAGAAATTAATATAGAGTTAAATAAATATTTATGAGATCAAATTTACCGTTGGGCCGCAGCATCTATCATATCACCAGCCATCATTTTTAAACGATTATCCATATGTTCAGCAAATATTATATCAGGCCAGTGTAGTTCTCGAATAAAATTTTGCAATGCTTCTAACTTCCATATTAATTCACTTGAAGTGACCGGTATACAACTTGTCATACCAATAGATGTTGGGTTTGTTGCAGCTTGTGTAGCAGCACTGGCTGCTGCAGTGGCAGCTGCCATTAAACCACCTGTGCGACTTGCAACATTCGCTGCATTGGCTGCACCAACCGCAGCTGCACTAACTAATGAGCCTACATTGCCTAAAGCACCAACAGTTTCTAAAGCGGATGCTGCGAATCCTGTAGTGGTTGAGGTTGTACCGGTAGTACTAGATGAATCAAAACTATTTGTATTATTTTGATTGTTCAATTGTCCGTCGACACCACCATTAATAGATTGAGCAATTGAAGCTTCCATAAGGTCAACATAACGTACAACTAAAGGTGCATATATTTGTGTTAGTTGTTGATGAAATTTTCCTGATTTTAATGAAACTAAAATGATGTAAAAAACAATATGTGTAATATACATCTATAATGTAAATATTATACAAAAACTAAAACTGTCAAAAATAATGAATACATACTTCGTGGTAAAAGCAAGTTGTGTAGAAAGACTTAAGATGTTATATTTTAACAATATTGATGCGATATAAGCACAAAGATAGATAATATCATTCGCTTAATTATGTGAAGAGAGATGTGCCCAATTTTAAATACAGCGTTGTGTCTTCTTAAACAAATCATTGACTAGTGTGAAAAAATTGAATTAAAGGTAAAAGCAAGAACTGGTGTGTTCGAAAATTGTTTTTTTCTTTTCGACGTTAATCATTTCAAAAGCATATAGAAAAATCAGTTTAACATTTGATTTGGTACGAAAGTCTTCGCAGCTATAGATTCATAACTGGAAGGGAAAAACACACGGGCAAAATAATGGTTTTGTACATAGTAGATCATTTAGCCTTCTGTTCGACCTTCGCATATAGAGGAACGTCGGTAGTTCAAAATTCAAAATAAATGACCACCTTTCGTACAGCAAACAAAGTCGTCAGATAAAGATAACCCTTCTCTCACTTTTCTGCAGTTGAAAACATTAGAATAAATTAGACTAGATGCAATATCAAGTAGGCTTAAAGTAGCATGCACATATCACACATACCATCAAAAAGGCATTAGTGGAATACATTTAGATATAAATAAGCAGCGTTTTATGCGACAAACGACACCTTTAAAAATAATTTCCTACACAATATTATATTATCCAAATCATTCGTGTCGAGATGGTGAAGATTTGTAGCTCAGTTGGATGATTTTGATGGAATTTTGTTTTCTTAACTGAATGATTTGCTCAGAGAACAAAATTCTATCAAAATCATTTGTGTTTTTTAAATCCACGATAAACTATAATACTAGCAAAATTGTGCTTCAATGATAAAAAATAAAGGGAATCTTTTTAAAGCAAATTATATACAGTGTAAATCTAACAAACCTAAAGAATTAAAGTTTATTTACCACATGAAACCAAATTTGAGAACTGCCAAACTTACACAAGATAAAGATAAATATTAATCACCAATATCTATACTTAATACTGATATACGTCCAAAGATGACAAACATATCTTGAAATAACCAAATAATTTATACATAGCAATGATAAATAATACTGAATCAAAACAAATTTCAATCCTACTAGAGTTTAATACAAAACAGAAATATATGAATGAACCTGTAACTGAACTGAATACAAACCTTCTGAACTTAGGTAATCATTTAATAGTTGAAATAACGGAAAACTATCCCAACAATCGGGTGGCATTGTTTCTAATACACCAACCATATCGGCTGAGAAAAAATTCCAGAACAATTCTGCATGTTCAGTTAGCAAATCTTGAAACCATGAAAACGCCTGGAAAACAATCATTAAAATAATAACAAGAAGAATAAATATATGATAAATATACACGTTGAAGAGAATATTTAAACAAATCGTTTATCAACAACGTTTCCATAAGAAAAGTCACAGGAATATAATTAGTGTCGAAATGAAAAACATAAACGCATCATTCTATTGTGACCGACCATGAGTTTTCACAGTTGCTTATTAATTAATACAATAAAATGACACGATTAATTAGTAGCTCCTAATTTAAAAAAATTGTTCTTAAATGACCGAAATCAATTGGAGCGATAAACTAATTCTATTTAAAAAAGGAAATGAGTCTTCACGTGAAAAAATTACATTTTTATGACTAGGGTAAAAGTTTTTCACATCCTATTTATTCAGAATACATGATCGCTATTCCTTTATTTAAATTTCCACATCATGGGTAAGAGGTAATAAGCAAGAACTAAAAAGAGGAAAAACAGTTGTAGATTAATTTTGCACGTAAAAACAGTAATGCTGTCGTTTGATAATTAACAGCTTTTCAACTTGTGTTCATTGACCTTTAAAGAAAACATAAAAAGAGAGTAAGCAAAGAAAAAAGAGCCTATATATTTCCATTTTCACTTTTAAAAAATAAAAGTTAATAAGCAGAAGGTAAAAAAACACGATGCACGGAAAGAGAAAGAAAAAATTCGTAAAAGGTGTATAAAATCCTTCAACATATTATTATGAATCATTGACTAGTAGCAGTTCAAATTTAGTATATAGAAGAGCAATGATGGAAATATTATTAGTTCTGATACTCCTATATTCTTCCGATAGAGCAATGAGAAGACGGAGTTGATATGAGAAATATGATGCATTTGTGCTATAGATTTCGAACAATCTGGTCACACATATACTTGTCAGGGCGATTTGTGAAATAAAAAAACAAAATATTGGTCAGCATAAGAGGAAATTTATAAATAAAGTCAAACAAGTATTTATTGCTTATCTTTTATCAAACAAGAAATATCAAGACAAACTTTTTTTCCACTAAAAACATGATTTATCATGAAATAATGTTTTTTAAATATATCCAAAAGGCTAAAAAGGTTAGGCAGGTAGGGAACTTGCAAGTTTTAACTCTTTTGAAGTATGATATAACTTACCAAACTGTCTACCACGAAATAATCAGCAAAGTATTTGTCAAGTCAACGTATAGACATCCAAGTTGAAACAATTTCCAGAAACACTTAAGTTATACTAGTTGGGTTTTTTGTTCTCTGAAGAAGTGGCTTACACTGAGTCAAGAAACGTCCGAAAAGTTTAATAAATTTAATTTTTCTACTGATTGGGATACTACAAAAATATTATTTTAATAATTAAGAATAAAAGTGTTTAATTTTCCCTCTCTTCACTAAACTGAACAAAAAACCTCTATAATGTAATCAAATTGTATAGTTGTCTTTCAGTTCACACCCATGATTAGAATATGACTGGTTCTTAGCGTCATCCAGTTGGCGATATATCTTCACACGATTCAACGGTTTACTTATTTGAAGATTTAAGTGATTTAGAATGATGTCCCTGATGTATTCATAGTAATGATTTCGAAAGAATGAGAAGAATCATTAGGCTGAGTTCACGCTGACAGTTCTCGATGCACTGCTTTGATGAACGCCGTAAAAACTTCTAAAAATCCGAATATATATCCAGCGTGATGAGGACTCCTTTTGCCCTCCATTTCTAGTATAGTTGACATTTTATTTTTATAAATAAATGTTCTTAACAAGTATATGTGTGATCAGAATGTTCGAAATAAATTATGCTAACATATAACATAATTCTAATAATCTTCGTTTTCTTATTACATTATCCAAATTTATCAAAGCGACTAATTGCTTCAAAGATTCACAAACATGAAAAGCGAACAAGTATCTAACGTAGTTCGGATTGTTTCACAAGACTAAATAGAAGTATGTGTTTGCTATGATACTCATCAAAGTAGAATGATCAATGTGTACATGGTTTAGAACAACTGTTATTTAGAAATATTCCTTCCAATATCACTAAGATAGGGTCGAGACATTGTAAAAGTGGGTGAAGGAATAGGTTTTCGTCAATAATTTGGGATGCTCCTTGCAGATAAATTCTTCTGAACTCCTTATAATTTATTCAGCATGAAAATGATATGTACATATTCAAATTAACAAGAAATTATGCCATTACGTTTTAAAGAGTGAATATATATATATATATATATATATATATATATATATATATATATATATATATATATATATATATATATATATATAACATACTTCTGCATGATGTTCTTCATTTTGACGTAGTACCTCAATACACAATTCACCCAAGTGAATAAGGTCAGCCAAAGTCTTACCTAAATAGATAAAGAAAATAGGAAGGAGAAAAAATGTCAATACAAACATATGAGTTATATGTTAGTGTTTTATATTACATTTTTAGGCCTTTTAAAAGCGGAAGAGAACATTACCAATATATATATAAAGTACAGAATTTTAGTCAAACTAAGTAATGTCTAATCCAATATTTTCTGACATAACTAAATTGAATATGAGATGGCGTTATCAATTTTGAGTGACCTAGTTCCCAATATCGTTTCTATTAGAACAAATAGGCACTTTATATAGTTTTTTTTATCAACGATAGTTTATTGATTGATCCTGTCATAGGGTGCCATCAAAAAAGGCCTGAAATCTTGCCGATCAACAGTACAGAATCTGAGGTTCTGCTGAAGAATAAAGATAATAATTCAAAATGTTAATGAATTATATTTTAAAGTCGGCGTTTTGAATCTATTAAGTACGATAACTGTAGTACAGTTTAATCAACCAAGCCTACTAAAATTTATTTTGCTAAACGTTTACTAAAACATATGTTTATTAAAAACAAAAAGAGAAGAGATGGGAAATAATTAAACAAAACAACAAAATCATTGGTTTATTGTTGAATAATTTGATAAATAATTATTGAATTAATTTGACTGAAATTCTGACTTTTGAAGACATACTTTGACGCTTTAAAAAACCGTTACAAAACGAGTGCTATTTATATAATTTATTTTCAATAAAATGTTTATTATAATAAAATTATTGTATTTCAATCAACTTACTACTTGTTTGTGAATATTCACCACCTTTATCACGACCGCCTAATATAATGAAAAAAAAACAAATATAAAATAGCTATCAATTGTTTAATGCTGTGACCAGTTTATTAGTATGAAGAGGAATGAATGACAAGTACAGAGATATCAAGGTGATTTAAGTTTGAAATAATATTTTTTGTTTTCAGATTGCAAATGAAGCCGATCATAAGAAAGGTGAAGATGTCCATACAAAATAATAGTTTAACTGATCCATTATTATGACTATAATCAGTGAAATAACAAGAAAGAAATACAAGTTCTGTACAAAACAGCAAAATAAAAAAACTGAAATACTTATATCAGTGTTATTGACAATAAAAAAAAGATATTGAAATATAAAAATCTGATAATAATAATAATCTGATTTAATAACTATCACAGTAATTAAATTTTAGATAATTCTCCAGAGACTTCACAAAGTATACAATGTTACATAATAAAATTTCAAGTACTAAATAATCACATTTTCTTGTGATTTTTTTACAAGAAATGTTTACTGATCTAGTTAGATTGGTAAATGAATGGATTGAAAACTTTTTGTAAAAACGTATGTATACAAAAAGAATAACAAAATACATAATTTCAATTGAAATAAAGTCACCAAACACTTATTATACAAAAAAAAGCACAAACCGAACGAATTTTCTACATTGAGATACCATAGAAATTCTTGAAATTCTTTCAAGACTTTGTTTCGCCTCATGTTAGTGAATGAATTTACAGAAAAGTTCACTTAGAATTCTACATTTAAGATGTAAAACAGATATTTCATGTGCGAAATTCTAACATATTTAAAGAACTTTGCAAAGATTATATCCGATTTTCACACCTAATATAAAGATTTGTTTACTGTGATAACTCATGCGCGCGACCGTATATTAATATTACAATATCCCAGTAAAATCTATTTTTCAGATTAAAAGCTTTTCAAGATACTCTACAGACAAAAAATTGTTTGCATATATATATTTGTAAACGATGCTAATATACAGCGTTTGTAAACAAGGATTTAGTTATATTAATCAGAAAATCTTGAAAGTCTGTGTTACACAGCAGCGACTACCGGTGGTGTCAGCAATAACAGAAATAACTTTGAAGTTGACTTCAAACGAATGGAATTTAAAGTAATTCATACTTATTAACGAAACCAACAAATTTTAGAGTAGAAGACGTAAGAACTTCGCGTGTATTAGTATTCACTCGGTGTTGTTTCCATTCCATAATGATCTATTGAATTTATTCTCCTCAATCCAACGCATCCTAAATGGTCTGAAATGATTTTCTTTCCCGAAAAAGAAATTAAGCGATTGACAGCTCAGTATATGGTTCAAACGCTGATCAGAAATACAAATTTTCTTTCTAAAAGCTGTTTTTTACGGAAATATAACGTTAATGTAATGATGGATAGACGCTTCTCACAAAACGATATCAATTCATTTAGACGTGCTAAACACAAACTATTGTAATATAAATAAGTAACTGATAACGATAGTAATACTGCATGAATAGAAATTAATTAAAACGCTTAGAATGTCCTGAAGAATTATGATATAAAAATTGATTTAGTTTGTACAGAACTGATGAGAAAATAAATTGGAGGTTTTAATTTTTAAAAACTGTTGAGGTTCGTGCCCCCGAATGCCCTGGTACAGCCGAGGGTGGGGAGAGTCCGCTCTTTCTATCCAAGTGCTTTCACATGGACATGCATATATAGCCACTGCCAGAGAAGTCCTAATCACTACCTTCTCGTGGCGGGGGTGTTGTTTACGAAATTGACAGGATGAAAAGCGAATGTCCGGCGCTTTAACTGGGTTAGTGGACACTGAGAGTCCGCCTAGGGGAATTGGAAAACCCTGATTTCAAACCAATGGTGTACATGGTCTCCAGGATCCTGAGGAACAAGTGGCGTATGAACCAATCGTTGGTCACCGGCTACCATGTTACTGCATGTCCTTACGATGCTCCACTGCCTTGTGGATAAGACCTTTAGGTTAAAGGCCCCGGGTGTTGCCCCCTAGGAAAACCACCTGCTTCGATCTGGGCACCCGGGCAGTCTCACGTCCCTCACACAAATCAGGTGACCTGTGTGGCGCATATGTATCTGGCACCCCGTTGTACCAGTATTTATGTGTTCAAATAAATAAATAAATAAATGTTGAGGTTCCATTCACATGTGTATACATTTCAGTGATGTAAATAGAAAAGCATAAAAATTCTGCTTTGACTAAACATCAAAATAATCATCCATTGAAAGTAATTTTATCATGATATAATGCCTGAAATTATCTGGAGAGTTTTCAATGTTGACTTTGTTGTACTAGGCATTTTCGATCTCTTATATTCATTCAGTCATGGAGTGAAGTATTGAGTTAAAACCAAATTTCAATATGCACGAACTACTCACTAAGTGAACAGAAAAATAAAAATCACAGAATGTAACACACCTAATGATTGGAAACGAAGTATTTTGTTCAGATGGTATACATATAAAAAAATTGATGTGTCAAGACTACACTAATACTTATTTATCAACGTTATCTTTTCTTAATCTAACGTGATCAAATAAATGAAGTAAAGATAATTGTCTTTAGTCATTTAGACATAAGAAAAAAAATCGTTAAAGAAAATAATGGTCAAAGTTTCAGAACTAAATCCGATAAACACTGATTAACTCACAAAATTGATGAAATCAATAATTATTAGGATAATGAGCATCTTACTACCTCTATGAAAATATGCTCTCCATTAACTAATTCAGTATATAAACTAATACAATTACAAAGCATCAATGGATTAAAATAGGAAATAGCTAAAATTATAGGTCTTACTATTTTTCTAAATTTTTTAAGAACGATAAAAATAAACCTGTGTGGTAATTAAAAAAAACACTTCTAAGTATGTATAACGTGGTGTTTTTATCATGTGAGTAGCTGAACGAGTACTGTAAAAAAACCCAGATTTGCTGAGTTTCATCAAGCAATTATGGGAATTTCTTCACTTATTAATTTAGTGACATTTAAATCTATGTAAGTAAATAACTGTAAATAAACTGCATATTCACAGATAGTTGCAGCAGAGAACAAAGAGCTATTGGCTAGGTTAAGTTTCGACTATGTAGCAGTAACATGATACATCAGTAAATTACAACAACGGATCTTCAATCTTTTATGTAACTATAGATTACATTTACTTACAGTTTACTTCAATACTAAATCAATGACAGACACTAAAGTATATAATTATGTTCAAAACAACAGTTGAAATTAAATTTGAGACACAAGAAAGGTTTCTACGCTTACTTTCAATTGCTGCATATTCAGATATACGAGCATAATTTACCAAAGCAGCTTGTTCCAAACATCGCCTTATTACTTCGCGTACTTCTTCAGCTGAAGCTGGAGCACCGGTATCTTTCATAAGGACCTACAATAAGAGATATACTCATTACTAATAAGTAAAAATGTTCATATTAATAACAAGAGACAATTTATTAACAAATAGTTTCTTTATCAATTACATCTAATCAACAATTAATTCAACTGAGAAAAATCTTATGTTAATATATCTGGAAAAATAAATAAAAATGTCACTAATAAATATCAGCATAGACAACCGACTACTAATTAATCGTCACAATAATAAAGACCTAAAATATATATAGACGGTGTTGAATATTAAGAAACAAATACGTCTTTGTTTATTACTGAAATAAACAAATTTCTACTTCGCTTACCTGTACTTATTTGAACAGCATATTATACTGTAGCATGACAGAAACCATAATTAGTAAGGAGCTTATTAATTTTTTTGTAACAGATAAATCACTAACCTTACTGAATTAGTCATTTCAGCAGACGACGGGTTATCGAAATGCAGTTAAATCTACCACAACTGAAGATATGTTAAAAATGAACAGTCTAACAATTATTACACTCAAGTTAGTAGTATGATTCTTAATGGTAATGTCATTTTGGAAAAGAAAGTCCGGAAATGCTGATATCAAAGTCAACTTTTAGTATCTAATCTTTGCTTGTGAAAAATATAAGGAATATATGCAGAAAAATTGATTTCATTAGTTCATTGTAATAGAAAGTCAAAACTATTACAGAATTAAAATTCCATTGATAAATGCAGAAATAATCCACATTCTTAGACTGGAAGCTGACAGTAAAAACTGTTTATAGGCTAGATGAGATGGCAAGCGTTGAATTATGGTACAAAGAAAAATAATTTGTAAGTGAACATATACACTTTTTAACTATACACCAGTTTAGTTTTAATAAATATTCTATAAAAAAATTGAAGTATTGAACGTAAATGTATTTTATAAAAAGTGTAACTATCAAAATTTAGTCAACTAAAAATATAATAACATCATAGCAACGATATAAATGCTAGTCATTAACTCACTCTTTCTAACAATCCCAGAGTTAATTTTAATGCACCTTCTGGACGTCCAAAAGGAAAATAATAACGAAACTCTGTAATTTGTTTTTCTAGAAGAGCATAAAGACGTTGACGAATCCCCATGAACATTTGACGTTCATCAACTAGAACAGTTCGGATATTTGTATCTTGACTTAGTAAACAAAAAGCAAAGAAAAAAAAAAGAAAAATCAGACAATATTACTTGACACTATATTTACTCCTGTATTATTGAATAAAAGCATTTTCGAACAATATCAGGAGTAGTAAGAGTGTAGTATAGAGACGAGCTTGAAGTAACAGCGACAAATTTCGGCAAGATGTTAGTTAATTAGAAAGCAGGCTTTATAAAAGAATAGTTAATGAAAAGTAATCGATAATATTAACAAAATTAAATAATTGATGGAATTATTGAAGTTTTCTAAACGCTATTTATTCTCTAAATTTAAAACACAACATATAAATTTATTTATACGGGTAAAAAAGTTATCAGTCTCATCACACCCTAAAAGGATTTTCCAGAAGACCCTACATCATTACTGGTTATAGCTATAGGTTAAGAGTTGACGGTTTAAGGTTAGGAAATAGATATTTGGTTGATATTATCAGCAATCTGCATAGCAAAAATTGAGAATTTGATATATTTAAAACAATCCCGTTTATTCTATGATGGCAGAGATGATTTTCATCACCACTTTAAACGTTATGGGTGCTCTAGAAATGTATTACTAATGAGTTTTTAACATAAAATAAAGTGCATTCAAATTTGAATTAAGAACAAATATCAAGGAATGGTTCCCACAATTCTAAACGGATCATTTCTATACTTTACTTTTACCCAAAAAGCTTGTGCAGGTTTATATACCATTTATGATTAAAAATACTGATTCCGAGAATTTTAGGAATTCTTTCACAATTCTGATGACTATTACGGTGGATTCTTTAAAATAGTTTTATTTCCAAACGAATAATAACTATCCTTAATCATATAAATAACTTGACTTTAGACTGGTTATATTTACCTAAGTAATTTCAGTAGCTCATATGAAAAGAATAAAATTAAATAGAAACTGTAACAAAGCTTAATTATTACCATTTTATTCGAAAAGAAACATTGGAAAATTACCCGTAACCATAAAAAACCCAAATAGAATGTAAGGAAATTAGATTTCATGACTCAGTAATGCAAAGTGTAAGAACTAATAAGTTCATCTGATTCTTTGAATTGTACTGAAGGAAATATATATAGGAAGTCAAGTCATTACTATCAGTTCAGTTTTTACATGTAGAAATATCATATATATATTAATTGCCCAAGGTAGGTGTGTACGACTAAACAGTCAGTCTTGATGTGATTTTAATATAAGCATAATCTTAGCGGTATACGTTACACTTTCAATAAGGAATTTATTTAATAATAAATTTGAATTAATAATAATAATTGCAAAAATGAATTACTTACGTATTACCGAATACATGACAACAACAAAATGCATATGAATAATGTACAATAGCTGGATCTATAATTATGCCCTGTTCAGCTCGATCAAGTAAATCACTTAAATAACATAAATGTCTATGACAACCACGTACACCGTAACGTGCACAATATTCATCTAATATAAACATTTGACTTGGGCTAAACCAACCAAGTGATACATATGAATCTTTCATACGATAATCTAATGATTTTGATTGTAATAATGCAAATAATTCAGCATGATTCACTTTCCATGGTTCAATACTGACAAATTCATCAAGACCATGTTTACGTGCACGATCCACATCTAAAAATGTAATGAAGATAAAAGAGAATTCAGTGTCAATGAAAAAGAATGCGAAATATTAAAAAGTTTATAAAACGTAATAATAATAACGAGAAATATTCGTTGGTAATAATATGAAACTTTCTGCATCAATAATTCATGGATCAAAGTTCTACCTGATATGAGAGCTGTCATTGAAACAATTTATTACATGATAACATGAAATTACTAGTTAAGTGCTAATTCACTTAATCCTAAAACAGATATTGTTGACTAATTCAGGATGTTTTTTAATTATCTAATATTTAAGGAGATCGTTCATTTCATAAAATGTCTGTTGGATATTGATTACGTCTCACAACGTTCTTTTAATTTTCAGGCTGATAAGTATTAGCTAAAAACACGGAGCAGTCGGTTCGTCCTTGTAATGAACGATTACTTAGTTACATCATATCAGTATCCAAGATAGTGGGTCAGAAGAATCAACAATGCAGTAGACTTCCTGAAAAAGCTTTTCAACAAAAAAACTGGTTAACGGAGGCATTCAATAACACACTTTATAAATGACTACAGTGATACAGATAGGTTCCAGTTTCAGGATATTGTATGTCTGACTGAATTTCTTCCAACTTGTCAATAATATATACTGTCTGTACTTTTTCACGAAAATATCATTTGAATCGATTTAATTTAGTATGCGTAGTTAATTGTCACTCTGAAAAAAAATTATATTTTAAAGTTTAGCGAAGTATCTAAAAATCGTATGTATTAGAAACTTTCTCTTGACTTTAAGTTTTAAGGATAGGATAAAACTTCTCATAAAATATAAAACACACAATGCATAATATATACTTTTACTCACCACCTTGAGTTCTACTTCCTATGCTGGAAGTATTACCACGAGAAGTTAGTATTGAGGTAGCTGACGATGATTTATTGTCAGGAGTGAGAGAAACATTTTGCAAGTTACTATTGTTACTTCCACTTATAATTTTTGATGGTGGTACTGGTTTATGTGTTTGACCAGTAGCACGATAAATTGCCTGTATCCATAGTTGACGTTCATTTTCATCATCTGTTGCAAACATTACACTATCACCTTCTTTTACTAAATTAAAAAAGTATTTTCCGCCAGTAGCTGCTAAATCTAAAAGCAGAAGGAAAAATAAATTACCTGAATCATAGAATTTAACTCATGGAATATTTACAAGACCCTCCTCTTTCTTTAAGTCATTTTATGATCCGATGTTACAAAAAAGAAAACATTTTTTTCATACTTGCTTTCAATAGAAAACAAATCAAGTTAGTCTGATTATGTTAGCTTTCTCTATGATATAAAAATAATGAAGATTTATTCATTTATTGACATTCACTGTTTTTCTAATATATCAATAACCTAATAAATAAATAAATGTTGTGCATTAAATTATCATGAGAGTTTACTAGACAGATTTGTTAGTTAAGGCAAACCTAGTAAGGTTTACTGTCTGTTATAACGAGAAAAATATTGGGGAAGCTGGCACTTTTGGAATTATTCTTAGGTTTATTATTCTTATCTATATTTTTATTGTATAACTAGTAGATAGAGTTTTGCTGTATCTCCAAGTTCCGCTTGCTTTAAGCTTTTAGTGGACTTACTAACTGCCGCTATACGCTTCACTAATGAGATATGTACTGCTCGCTCATCTCTATACCACGTAAAGTATGATTGTATTCAAAATATGATTTCATGTTTGGTGTTGTGTGATCAGTCACCTCAAGCATAGTATTGTATCAGTTTTGATTTATGACGGGATTGCATTGGGTACAGTAGAGAATTAATTGGCACCATTCACGTCTTCCAGTTGACGACTACTTTAGAAATAACTCAAGAACCAATAAGTCTTAAGGTCTTGGTTGCTGTCCACTGGTCAGTGTTTCAATTTGGTAAAACGTAGGTCACCGGTCCAACTGGAATACGGGCGGACAAATTGATAATCAGAATCCTGATTGGGCGTTATAACATGTGATATTGATTGGTATCTCAGGCCATAACAAACAGGTGATCAAATTCCACAACACTTACACTCCGATTCACAGTCCTGATATTCAGCAAGTATTTTTGGAATAGTGTTTAGCACTTTAAAGCTTGATCGATGTTTGGTAAGTATAAAAGATGTTAAGTGGAAAATATACTACCTTTCTTTCAACAAACAACAGATAACCCAAGTTATTTAGCATAAGGATCGATATAGAACTGGCCAGTATAAGTCTATTTCAAATGATGTGAATTGATAGTTTAAAGTGGCTGAATAAATCAAGCATATATATATGATCATACAAGTCAGAGATCAAATAACCAAAAAACTACTGAGAGTTATTCGCTTGTTCAATTACATTTCGTAAAACATAATATTTATTTATAAATATTGTATGATAACATAATATGGTGAATATAAACTGGAAAACAATGACATTTTAAGGGAATCTCCATAAATAATTGAGGAAAAAATTCTGGAACAAGATTTCGTTGTTAATAATAATTATTGTCGACCATAATAAGAGGTATGATGCATTCAAGTACACGTTCATGCAATGTGCTTCAAATCACACAGTCTATTTTGTGTGACGAATAATCATACGAACTGGATTATAGTTTTAGGTTGCAAAAATAATTAGTTGAATGCGAGTCTTTTCAATAAATTAAACCACTATTCCATTACTGTCACCAGAAAGTGAAACAGTAGTGATAAAGATTAATTGAATGATAATTCTTAAATAAACACATTAAGGATAACTTGTTAAAGAAATTCAGCGTAGGCATCAAGAAAAAAAACATAGCTTTCAACCAAAACAAATATTGTTTAGGTGAAAAATAATGAATGAATTGCCAATAAACAACGAAGCCTATTCACATTCATAATAGATACAAAATGGATAGTGCCATACATTATTTTATAATGTGGATAAATAACTATTTACTTAACTTCATACCACTTTATATATTATTTTATGTTTGCAACAACAAAAGAAAAAGAATAGGCGGGAGCAATTTATCCATTAAGTAGTCATCTTTTTTGCTCATGTTGGTTTAAACAGAAGTTTTTTTCTTTATTTCCTTTCTTCATATATATTTTTGTCTCGATTGTGATTGTTATTACTACTATTCATCAATACAAATAAATTTCAACTTAAACATTTTTATTTGGTCATTCAGTCATGAAAAAAACTGGTAAAGTTACTTCTTATCTCTTTAGTCATTAAACTGATGAAGATATGGAGAAATCTGGAAGATAATTTACAATTATTAATGGAATACAACTACACGTTTATTCAGTTAAAAGAATAAACTCTATATGAATTGCCTCATATAAAGGAATAATTCTTTAGAAAAATAGGTAACTTGAACACAAAAATTGGTACTTGTAATAGTAATTATATATATATATATATGCATTAGTGACATCTGTTCAATTTCCTGTTATTAGCAACGATAGTTGGGTATATAAAAATAGATTTATTAACAAAGTAACAGTTGAGCTTAAACCACTAAGTTGTCATTGCTTAGAACAAAGTGAAATAATTCAGTGTACAATACAATTCTAATAAATATTTATCCTAAAGTTTTATTATTCCTAAATATGGAATGTACTTTAAATAAAAGGATAAAGTTGAATGATTCAAACACGTTTTTTTACCTATCACATAATACTGTCTTGTACATTGTGTTCTGTGAGTTGAATGTTTTGCTTTTACTACTTGTCTATTTAATATAATCATTACATAGAAAAGATAATTTTTTCATCTATTAGTTTGATAATACGCAACTTATATTGCCATTAATATAGTTAACTAAACACTTATCATATAAGTAATTTTTTAGCTACTCTGAGGTTATTATCTAATCAAAATTGTATACACGGTGCTCAATAAACTGATGATATACCTGACATTCACAACAGCTTCACCAAGTTCTGCAACAAGAATTTGTTTAATGAACTATTATGAGATAAATAAAAATACTGAATACATATGCCATACTATTTTCTGCTCAAATTACATTAATTATTCCAATCTACAGCTAATACATTGTTCAAAAACAGGGTTAAATAATATCAAACTGAAAACCTACGATAATTCATCTACTTTTCTTTTGATAAAAGAAACAAGAAGGACAATTTCCAATAACACTTACATTATTAATTTTTTTATCGGTATATAAAAGAAACACAACACAACGTGAATTCTAGATATCAAGAACTGATGATATAATTCTACTAAGGGATCGGATTTACCTGGCGGAATTATTAAATTCATACAATGAATTTATATTGTTTAATCCATTATTTATTTATAGCTTATTGATCAGATATAATTCTTCATAGCTACCTTAGTGTGTTAGACAGAAACCTTTAACGAAAAACTACTGTAAAATAAATCAGAAGTGAAAGTGCTATCATGTTTTATCTAATACAATTAATAATTAATCGACCGGTTAATTATCGTTCACACAGTTCTTAGAATTATGTACTGTGTTCAATTTTCAAATCAAAATTGTCTTACACCTTAGTGAGAAACGTAACAAAAAGAAAAGTTTCATCCAAACTTTTTGTGGATTACGTCTAGTCACATGACATTACCAAGTCGACCTTTTTAGTATTTTTATACAAATAAACAATGATTATCGCTGGAATTATTTTAAAATATGTTTCATGACTTTAAGGCAACTCCCAGGACCGTGAAAACACTATACTGCAGGACAAAATAGAACTATGACAAAACTTTGCAGACTTAACACTAATTGAAATGGAAAGACAAAATTAATTGTCCACAAATATTGGCCTGTTTCATAGTTTAACGTAGAGCTTATTAAAATAAAAACAATTGTTCAAACGTGAATTGAATGACTAATATAGTGCCCGAAGACTTTGACAATCATGAACAACTAGAAATATTGAACCGAATGTTAATAACCCAAACTAAGCTTCATGCATGAACAACTCCAATGCAAAAAGATTTACTTCCAGTGAAATAAACTAATATATTACAGTTACACCGAAGTGTATTTTATTAGAAACTAAATACTAGACAGATAATGTTGAATATACAAATTAGAAAAGAAACAACGATTACCTTAAATTTACCTTTAGAATTGTCAAATACAATAACTCACACAAACACAGTCAATAATTCGATTGCTCTTCAGAGTGATCAATTTAATGTAATAACTTCAACAAAAATACAAGAAACGATTCTATTTTAAGTTTTTGGAAAACAGAAAGAAATTACGTAAAAGGAAAGCTATCCGAATATAAATATCAGACTAATCAATTAGAAGCCAATGTAACATACACTTTTTGCCTAATTCTATTTATTGAAAATGAACTCAATCATTAAATCAATTAATCAAAATTAAGTTTGAAAGAAATGAAAATTATCACATACCAGTTTGAAAATCACAAAAATCAACTGTGAATCCTTCCAATTGCATAATCTCTGTTGGATCCGATTTACGCTCTTTGTAGGATGCCATAATAAACGTATACTGTGATACCTATGGACAATATAAATTTAAAGGAAAACAATACCGAAACTATATATATATATATATATATATATATATATATATATATATATATATGAGGGGTGAACAAAAGTTAATCCCATCAAATAAACAACACAAATTTTTAAACGAAGAATATTCTTTACAATAACGTCTTATTCGATTGTACATTTTCAGAGACAACCAAAATTAAGACAAACTCATCCGTAATTATATTATTATTGCCTTCACCCTATTATCTTTATTTATTCCGATTGTTAATATTTTAGTTTCAAGTGACCTATAACAATATACACACACATTTCAACACCAAAATTTTATCTTGTTAGCAATCCCTAATTCGTATATGATAATCTTTAAAGATGTATTTTTCTTCAATGTAACTACCACTGAAAAGTTAATTTGGATATATAACTAAATCTAAATAAAGTAAACATCTACACAAGAAAAGCAGGAAATTGAAAAATACCTCCTAATGAATTCGAAAATAGTATACTATTGATGACTAGTATTTGACTCCGATGTGATAGAACGAATGATGTTATTGAAATATACATCCCAGCTACCCTCGAAAATAATTATCGACTTAATTCACGTTAGAGAATAACGGAATAAAATAAGTCAAATACGAGTAAAGTTTGAATACGTATATTCTGTACACTCATTGATATGAACAGACAAACAGAGAAACGAAGAGGAACGGAGGTAAGTGAGTCAACTCTTTTTGATCAGGAGTGACTCAATATTTATAGTCAGGCAAAAATAAGTCTCAGATGTGATGAGTAAGAAAAGCACTCATGTAAAAACAGTCTAGGTTAACAGGCGAATAATTGACAAGATCAAAATGTGGCTCAAGAACAATGAATATATCAATCTGTCGGGAAGCTATAATAACCCATGAAGACTTGACATTGTACTAGATACTACAATACCAATTATAACGTCTCTTAATGTTGTATAAAAAAAAGTTGAACATACATTTTAACCTTGACACTAACACCCTATTTTCGTCGCATAACAGCTAATAGGCAACCTAGTAATGACAATACTGAAAAGCTATAAAACTTAGAAGAAAAACTTTGAATAAAATGAATCAATATTAAGCATCTGATTATATATTTATGGACCAGTGAAGTACATCATCTCATCGGGTTCCATTTATAAAAAAAACGGGTTAAAAGTTGAAGGATTTTAAGTATACCTGATATATAGCTTTAATCACTCGAATATATCAATGTCATCAAAATCATAACACTAGCCGATAAGTAGTATGAAAAACTTTTTTCTCCAGTTTATTTATTTAGTTATTTTTAAGTAAGTTTTATTTACTACAGGGACAATTTTAAGGGCAATATAGAAAATTAAGGATACATATTTTCACACATAGCTGAAATTTCTGAAAGAAATTAAAAAATAATTTGGAAATTTCTATCATCCCATTTTATATTTCAGGCACATGATTTATGGGTTTAGAATGGTTATCGTAAAAGAATACAGGGAATAATAAGATAGAACACGTTTCGAAAAGAAAATTATAACTATATTTATGCATATCTTTGACACTAATGAGCAAAGAAAAACAAAAACCAAAATTTGAAACGAGAGTTGAATATGAAAGTTAAGAATACAACAAAATTTTCAACTAAACTATTTGTTTATTTAAGGATGTAAACGGATTTTCTATACTTTTCCAATCAGTAATCAGCTATAATGTTGTAATGTTTAACCTAAATTTCCGAAAAATGGAACAAAAGCACACTGAAATGATTTGTTATACTGATTGTTTTCATCAGATAAGTAAGTAAAGAGCAATAAAAACAATAAAAAACTATCAAAAGTACTAGTTCCCGTTTCAGGGATTTCTTAGCACAACAGATGAGTTCTATAGAATAGCAATCCTGATAAGAAGTATTTGTCGCTCCACAATAATCGGATTAAATCAAAATGGCTGTTATTTTTAGTCAGAGATTTTTGGAGAATTTGTGAATGTGAAAAGTGAAGACACAACTCTTCTCTCACAAATCATTTAGTCTAGGAAGTTCATCAGATACAAGTATTTAAGTTACCATCAAGGCAAAATATCAAATGAATATGTATCAGTCCATGTAGCCACATCACAGTATCACCAGTTAGAGAGAAAATTAAAAAATGGAAAACAAAGAAAAGAAGTCACTTCAACTGCAATGAAATACTAAATACAAGATATATGGCTCAAAAAAGACAATTACTGGTAGGATAACAAAAGCAAACAATGGAAACTAACACATCATCTAAAATAAATGAAGCTGTTTATGCATTATTGTAACCCGACTTTTCGGACTATTTCATGAAAAATATTTCATTAGGCCTATAAAAGAACGACAAGACTCAAATTAGTAGTCGATGGTTTTGAAGAATGATGACACATCTTGAGTTATCAACACGTAAATAGTATTCCTTGTGGTTAGATACGCAAAAATCATGTACTTATCACGTTATTAAATGAAAATTTATAGTCTCGTCAAAAGATCTGACATAATACTCAGCGCCTAACCTCAGCATAAGTAACTCAACATAAATCGTTTTTTAGTACTGTGTCCAATGACCAAACGCATGAAAAAAACTTTTATGTCCTATGGCCTGTCAAATATCATGTGACAAAGTCGCAAATCACAATAAGGACTTAAGTGACCTCGTCCGTGTGCTAAATCAATGACACGACAACCAGCGCTAGCAGACTTGGGTCACCTCGGAATACTTATCGGTCCTCAAAATAGCTTCTCGTCTAAACTGCACAGACCAGTCCAGAACACAAATATCAGCCTCTGCTCTATGAATCGTATATTTCACACATAAGTGAATTGTATGCAAGCAAACCATACAAAATCATACCATAAAATTAAAAATAATAATTGTAAAAGATCAAGCCATAATTGGCTGTGAGTAAACGATATAATAAGTAATAAATTAGGAATAAGTTAAGAATGCAAAAACGTATAACAGTAGCCAAAAGATCAAATGAAAACTAATGATAATAGAAATATAAATATATAAATAATCTGGTTACTTGATAAGTATCCAATGAAGATATATCTAATTATGGTCTATAAATAATGCCTAGCGGTTACAGTTCATTCAACCTTTGTTCGAATATAACAGAATCCAGATAATTGTATGATGTATTGTGCAAAACAAGCAAAGAAATCAAGAAATAAATAACAATTTCCTCAGTCAGTCAGCTACAACGTAGGACCAGGCACATATGTACATCTGTTCAACTTGCCATACTTCATAAGCACAACAAAATGAACACGGGATTCATAAAAGTGGTTAATTTAGAGGTGGTAATATATAAAAAAAAAGATTGCATATAAGGACATAGTACGAAACGAGAGAATTAGTCCGTAGAAAAAAACCTCATTATTACTTACCCGATGGTCCCAGCATATGCGAGCGATATTTCCAAGGCATCTATGGTCAAATACTAGTAACTGACGAGTATCTCCTAATCTTAATTATCCCGTTTCACAGCCGTAAAGTAGAACAGAACGAACTGCAGCGTAGTATACTCGTTCCTTAATTGAGAGATGGATATCTCCTCTTCACCATAGGTGACGTAAGTTGGCAAAAGACAAACGGGCTTTTCGAATTCGTGCTGAGATTTCGTCAGACATCAATAAATTGGGGCTGACCAAACTTCCAAGATAAGTGAAGTTGTCGACGCATCCGACTACTTCCCTCCCTATCCTTAGTCCATATGCTAATGCAGGCCGGTCCTGAAGCAACAACTTGCATTTAAAAGGGGAGAAACACATTCCAAACATTCTCGCATTGTTGTTGTGTTAACAAAAGACTTTGCATTTTATCAGCGTCTTCACCAAACAGGATTATGTCATCTGCGTATCCTAGGTCGATAAGTGGACCTCCATGTAGGAGATCAATGGCTGAAAATTCAGTCGACGAAAACGTTATTTGCTGCAGTAGGTACATGATGAAATTGGACGAAAATGGAGAAAGTGGACAGCCTTGTAGGACACCACTTGAGGTTGCAAAATCAGATGACAGTTCTTCATAGGCTCTGACTCGACTGGTAGTGTTTGAGTAAAGAGACTTCATAGGGTTTAGGTAGTTCTGAGGTACACCTCTCAATGACAGACACTGTCACAGAACCTCTCAGTCTACGGAGTCAAATGCTGTTTATAAGTCAAGAAAGACCACCATTGTCGGACGCCGACAAGCACGCCTGTGTTCTAGAACTTGGCGAATGGTGAATTTGTGGTCAATGCATCTACGAACAGGTCTGAAACCAGCCTGATTCTCTTTTGTTTGCAGTTCACGAGTTTTTGTTAGGCGCTCGATAAGTATTGAGGCTAGTATTTAGGATGCTACATTAGTCAAACTAATCCCTCTATGATAATCACAGAAGGATTTTAATCTTTTCTTATATATTGTGACAATCAGTAATTGCGACCACTCACAAGGGATTACATCTAGTTCCCAGATTTCAACTAAAATATTAGTCGCCAAAACTGGATCTCCATCCCTAAAGACTACTGAAGTTAATCCATCTGGACTAAGTGACCTTCCTCGTTTCAGATTAACTATGGCTTTTTCAACTTCAATTAGAGTCGGGAGGCCTATTTCAATGTTCCATTCAGGCTATTTGGAAATGGTGGGTAGCTGTAGAGTAATTGAAGGTCAGATGAACTAATCCTTAAAGTGTTCTACGCAACGTTCTAAACGTCCGGACTAACAGTAGATAAGAGTGTAGTCTTTTCCCGAGATTGCCTCACTCACTCTAGCCTTCTTAATTTCCGTTTCTTTTATTAGTCTGAAAAGCTGTCTTATGTTACCTACAGCTGCTGCCTTTTACATCTATTTTGCTTTCGTTTCCCACCACTGCTCACGATCGTTCCGTAGACTCCTGGTTAACCTCGATCTGATCTGTTTTCACTCATCATCGTGTTCAGAGCCTGATGGGATGGGTCTACGAGAGTCTATCAGTGAAACAGATGTAGCAGAAATCCTCTGGTTTCTCGTAACACTTTGGTTCAAATCACTAACAGATGTCACTGATATTTCCAGAGCCTTTCGTATATATTTCCAAGCAACATCTGGGTCAGCCTCGTTTTCAAAACTACCTAAGTGTGACCTCAGTAGTTTCTGAAACCTACTTTCAGTTTTCTCATTACTCAATTCAATTCTCATGAATCTTTTTAGTGTGGCTTTCATGCGACCAGTGAGGTGCAAGCAGATGCGTGCTCGTATTAGAGCACAGTCGGAGCACAAATAGGTATTCTATAATGAGCGACAATCTTCTATCGACCCTCTCCAACGATGACTGATGGCAATATGGTCTATTTGAGTCCATTGTTAGTTTCGTGCAGGGGCCCGCCATGTTAGACGATGTCTTCTTATGCTTAAAATTAGTGTCAGTTAAAAATAAACGATTGTCTGAGCACATTTGCAGCAGACGATCACCATTATCTACTATCTACTATCTTGTCCCTATCTACCATCAATTTCCTACTGATCTATCATACTTGACAGAAAACAAACAAAAACCTATCAGTATTTTTGAATAAATGATAAGGCAAAAACAGAAACGAGTTTTTTCCGATACCCAACTTATTTTTCGTCATCTTTTTTAACAAAATAAAATAAATATTACCGTCGTAACATTTTCATTATTTACTGTATTCAAGCCAAAACAACAAAGTGTATCTCTATAAACTATATATAAGTATCACAGAGTAACTCTTTGTTCAGTCATAATAGCAAGTAGTACTGCAACTAATAGGAAACTTTACAAGTGTTTGATTCAATTTGTCTTTGTAAAATAGTGTGAAAATTTATTTTATCACAGTACAGGTATTTGCTTGAAATACGAGAAATTAAAACATCTGTGACACAATAAATACTAACTAATAAAGGATTAAAATTTTAATTAGTATGTCGATATAGATTGATTGAATATGATGAAACATTACAGACCTAGTAGATTATAACTACAAAATGGTTATCATCACTATATACTGATTTAGAGAAGATTAGCAAGTATGTGTTTGTGTAGATGTGAGTAAACTTTTCAATGAGTAAACCATCAGTAGTTTTAAAATTAACTATGAAATAAATTCACATTCATTATAAGTGACTACAAAATCAGTTAGTTAACTTAGTTTTAAACCAAAGTAATCAAGATAAAAGAGTTTACATGAGCTACTACGCATCTTGTAAAAAAAAAAGCAAAAATATTATTGACTAATAAGTTTTAAACACAAACGAGACACCTGTTTCATCCATTCCATCTTCTAATTGGTTCTCTATGAAATATTAATGCATAAACTAAATTACCATAACAAAACTATTGTAAAAATGCTTAAGTCAACAACACATGTATGAATACCCACAAACATACACACATAAATCAACATTCAGTTTTGGCTATTAAAGAAAACACTCCAAAAAATATTCTAATCCCTTTACGACAAAGAAATATTAGTGTTTTTACTGTACGCCTACATAAAACGTATAGAAGAAAATAAACGATAGATGAGATCATTTTACGACAGTAACAAAAAGATCAATATTAATTATTTGAATGATTTCAAAATAATAGATTGGTCAATTTGCATAAATCTTTGTAACTATCTTAAAGGGAAGAGCATCTGTTTACTTATATGACTATTTATTTGTCTATCTATGTTTTTGCATTACTCGCAAACAAACAAACTTGAATTATTCATTATGTCAAGTATCAAAGAACAAAATATTATCTGACGGGAAAAACTGTCACATCCATCCAGAATATACTAATTTATTTCAATGACAGAAATAAATAAATGACCAGAGAGAGAAGAAATTAAATGAATCGAAAAATTTTTGTCGTCACTAGAAAAACGAAAAAAATCCAAGTTTGAATCAAAGAAGATTCAACGGACGTCAAACATTTAAAATTATAATAATACTAATAACTACAGTACGATTAAAGGTAGGAAAAAAAAGGGAAGAAAATAGAAAAAAACAGTAGCAAGGCAAATAACCAGCTAGAAAAACATTTATAGTGACATTTCAGTAAAATAAAGCTTTACTCAGCATAAATGAAAATAACAAGCACAAACACATTGTATGATGACAGAAGAATTTTTTTAAAAATGGAGTAAAGCCAAAACATCAGTAGAAACTTCAAAAGGAAACTTCTAAGGATAAAATCATTTCGTCCTTGAAATTTAAAGGTGTCATGTTAGAGGAGGTAGTGAAATTATATGAAGACTAAAAAACGTAAAACGAATATATAGCTCAAATGCTTGATTTTTGGGAAATTACATGAATGTTTCGGATCATCAATTCATACGATATTAAGAATGTCACTCGTTGAAAATTGATAACTAGCACAAAATCTAGGTTTGAAGCTTCCTGTTAATTGTCTATCGAACGCCTGGCAACGAACATGACTTATCAATTGGCAAGTAAGTTGGAAATCTATATGAACTGAAAACGATATCGGAGGTGAACATACATTTCATGAGTGATTAAATGATGACGGTGAACTAATATCCCTATTCAAAATACTATAATAAAGTTAGGTGAGCAAATATTTCATCTTGACTAAATTTTATTCTAAACGAACTATAGAAATAAAAATTAACAAACTGATTCATTAAAACGCAATTGTACCTTGGTATTATTCTATTAGTAACACTTACGATTTGCAGAAAAATTCAGGTATGATAAGGTTTTTAAAGAATGAATTGAAAATAAGGATCTAAATATGCAATGTAACAAGTCTGTTCGATATTTTCAAAAGATTCTTTAGACACACACACAACATATCAACTTGTCTTCAAAAATGTACCACTTATGAATTAATAACATAAAGAAAAACAAAATCTAACAATGATACAAATTCAGTAATAAAATGAAACACTATATGGATTGATTTTAATTGTGATTGTTCGTTAAACTTTAAGATACTCTTATTGAGATAAATATACAATAAAATAAAGATTAAGTTGTAATAAAAAACCTCACAAACTTGCAAACAATATTGAAACTAAGATTTATGAAAGAAATTTGGCGTGGTAATGAAAGAAAAAAAGAGATGAGAATAACAAGTTTTAGCAGACATGAATTCAATGTTAAGAAAATTGAGGCTTGAATCTTAATCACAATATTTTGCAACATAATTAAAAAATTAATATAAAAGTCTTGCATACATAGTGTCGTCTCGAAAACCCTAATAGATATTTTTTTTAAAATCTTTACCGAATAAATTAGGTAACAGCGTTTTTTAAAGAAAAGCAACAAATAAGATAAGATGATAGACATGATAACCATGAGAGTATTGTCTAACCTGTCAAAGTTATCATCTTCCATCTAACACAACAAGTGCAATAATATTTTATAGACAACACTAAAACGGAAGTTTAAACATGAATATAGCAAAAACAACATACCTGTATTAAGCAAATATAACGTCGTATCCATTTTCGAAATGCTGTTCGACCTAATGCATATAAATAACCACAATGTTTTAGATTATTTGGTTTCTCCATACGCAATGTGAGCTGCAGTTGTAAGTCATCCGGTACATTTTTAGAAGTTTGTAATTTATACCATTCTGGTTGACGATTACCAGTACATGTAGGATTTAAGATAACCTAGAAAATAACATCGAGGATTTATATAAGTAATGTCAAATGATAATAGTAACTGTAAATGCAAATCAGCTACTAAATTATCTTAATATAATAAGCTTTGATGTATACGTTCGATACTTTTGGCCCCAAAAATCTGATGTGTATTGTAGAATAAAACATAATACTGTTTTACAAGTCTACTGCTTTATCTATTGAGATATTATCACAAAAATAGTTGCGTTAAGTAATTAATGATATAAAAAGTGATACAAGAAAAGGACTAAGCGGACGTTTTCCCAGTAACTTTGTTATAAGAAGCAGGCTCTCAATTATATATATATATATATATATATATCACCATTTTGGTGTTAATTTTTCGGAGCTAGATGGTTCAATTGAGAAGCTTTCCATTGTCACTCTAGACGACATCTTCGGCACTTTTATACGACGCAAGAGAACATATACTAATCGATATCAATAAATAAAACAGTAAAATTGACTGCAATTACACAAAAAAAGATACCTAAAATTCACCTTGTGATACTGTAACGAAACATCGTTAATAATTACAATAAGATTGTAAAACACAATGTTGACTAAACATTTCTATTCGATTACAGCATTAAAGTCAAGAATTAGGGAAAATATGTTATTTTAAGATGCGATATCGTTGTTATTGAGTGCTCTACTCACGAAATCAGCTAATTAAGTGACAGAGTTATAGAAAAGGAAATAGACACTATGAATCATGCAGATTATTATTACAGGTAAAATGTATCGAGAGCGTAAATTTGAAGCTTAAAGGAAAAATATACAGACTAATGCATGGAGTGACAATGGGTCTCCTGTAAGTCAATATTTCCATAGCTAAGACAGAAAAGTATCAAGGTTCTCACTTTAGACTCCACATATTATTATGCGTGAATCTTTTGTAAAAGCCGTAACGATTAAATAGACTCTCCGGTGATTTAATTAACTTTATCTTCCCATTACATTTACATGTGGGAATATAAATAATGTTAGAGTAGCTTTTGCAAATGTTTTACTTAAGAATTGAGCAGAAAGATCTAAAGGAAGGAAACTGAACAAGGAAATTAGTTGGAAAGGATAATATACATGCCTTTTTAGAATTAGTTACCTTACAGTGTAAAGAAATTTGAACGGTACCTAGTTACTATTCGAATACAATTGAAGATTTATTTAATACTATTCGGATTATTCGGAGAAGAAAGAAGACAACGAGAAGTTTAGGAACAAACAGTCACAAAACTAAAATGAAAGGACCTTCAAACAACAAATCCAAACTCGGTGTTCATATTTCCTACGATTGATAGGTAATGCACCCACAGATATATTAAAAAGCTTGTGACTTAAGGCTATATCGAGACAAGCCTCACAGAATGCACATATGCCAACATGAGACTGATCAACTGCAGTCCTAAATAACAATGGGAAGATACAATTAAATTTAAACTTCACCCCACTGCACAAGCAGGTGGCTATCGGGACTCAGTGGCTAAGTGGATAACGCGATGACGTTTGAGGTGAACGGTACTGGGTTCGAGTCCAAGAGTGAACATCGACTCTGGGATGGAGGTACATCCAGCTGACGCGTCCCAGATAAGACGAAACGCGTGTCCTGTACTCCACCACTAGCCACTGTCCATCTTTGCTTAAAAAGCTTGTGATTCAAGGCCATATCGAGGATGCACATATGTCAACATAAGACTGATCAATTACAGTCCAAAATAACAATGGGAAGATACAAATACAACAACACCAAGTGAAGCCAGGAAGAATAGCTCAAATAATGTTCAGTGCAAAAAAATTACAAATCACGTTTTTTAGACGTACAATATTGACACCGAAATTCAAAACCGTATTAACTTAATTAACTGATCATCAAATGACAGCAGACTCCGTATATAAATAACTATGTTTCATTAAAGTTTGACGTGTTTCAGAGGGTGAATAAAATCTCGATCTGACATTAGTATTTATTATATTTCTGGCGTTGTGCGCATCTATTTCCTATTTCAAGTATGAGCTTTCTCAGTTATAACAACCAGTTTTAGTGAGCAAAAACTTCAGTTACCTGCTTTTAATAATAAGCCAAAAAGAATAAAGCTAAAATAGTAATATATTTCTATAAAGCACTTTATTAAACTTCTCATATGCTCTCGTCTTGAAAAAAAAACAACTCACATGAACTCATTATACAAACAGGAGGTAAATAGTATAATCTTAAGAAGAGCAGACAGGAAAATGTATTAGACAACGACACCTATTGTAACTAAAACTGAGAAATCATTAGTTTCACATAGACTTAAACAGTTCATCAATGATTACGTCGAATCTCATGACTTTTACAAGCACACGTAAGCAAGAACATTGAGTGATACAGTTGGAGGTGATAAAAAGTTGACGTAATAGCTGTAAGCTTATTTTACATAATATCGGATGAGGTTAAATGATAGACAATAATGCTCTTCTACAGCCAAGAGCTGAGAGATGTTAAACGGTTAGCGTTTAAATATATATTAAATCTTTATTTAGAAACTACCAAAAGGACATTTCGACGTTCAAGGAAGCTCCAATAATTGAGTATATTTAAAACTTTTTAATGTTATTAAAAGCAAATGTTTTCTCACCTTGCACCCATCCTACTAATCCTTGGTTCATTTTAAACCCTAATGTAGTATACTTACATTTTATTATATAACAAATCAACACTTTGTTTAACATTTCATCATTTTCACATAATAAGCCTCCTATTTGTAAATATGTGGTTCAATAAGTCAAAGCGTATTGCATGAGGATATCTCATTTTCTTCATCTAATCTTCATCTAATCTTTTTATTACACCATCCACATTTAGAAATAAAAGGGTTAACTGTTTCTATTGCTTTCATTTGAAATATCCACTAGACCAAAAGAACAGAATGGATGTAGAATTTAACTAAAAATTACAACTTATTTGAAAAGGGTTGATCTTTACAAGATGAATAGATTTAGTGTATATGTTTATTCACACTCATATATGTTGTGTTAATTTGACCAAAAAAATGTGAAAACAGATGTAAGTGATAGCAAAATGCAAAGCATATATTGATGGACGATTAAGTAGTGTATTTTCATTCTAGGGCATTGTATTTGTACTAATATATGTGAAAGTCAGTTGCAGGTTACTGATCTTACATGATTTATTCATAACTATAATTTACTGCAGAAGTTTATTAATTAAGATAAACTATGTAATATAAAAATAGTCAAAAAAGAACCCAATTACTTAAAAGATCAATTAACTGCAAGTGTTCATCATGGAATCTTATCAGTTAAAGAATTACTGAAAACTAGCGAGTACTCAAGAGATATTGTTTCATAATAGACTTAGAATATTTACTTGAATAAGACGTTAACGAGAAACAATGAAACAAGAAGTTGAAGAAAGATGAACAATGTATTACTTACAATCAGAACAATAAAAATATGAATGTGTTCTGAGTAACGGTAATTACTGTTTCGCAATTAAATACTAATTTGGTATAAAGTAGGTCTATAAACAAGATGTGAAATATACACGTAACACATTCTTTGATTTAGATCGATAATGTCTTCCAAACGTAATTTTCTACACCCATAGCTAAAATCAAGTTTCTCCGATACAACACAGTATGCACCAATCCAATCACAATTGACGGAGAAGATTTGGGAGATGTAAAAACCTTTACATATCTAGGCAGTATCATTGATGAACATGGTGGATCTGATGCAGATGTGAAGGCGCGGATCGGTAAAGCAAGAGCAGCATATTTACAACTGAGGAACGTCTGGAACTCAAAGCAACTGTCAACCAACACCAAGGTCAGGATTTCCAATACAAATGTCAAGACAGTTCTACTATATGGGGCGGAAACCTGGAGAACTACGAAAGCAATCATCCAGAAAATACAGGTGTTTATTAACAGTTGTCTACGCAAAATACTTCAGATCCGTTGGCCGGACACTATTAGCAACAACGTACTGTGGGAGAGAACAAACCAGATCCCACCGGAGGAAGAAATCAGGAAGAAGCGCTGGAAGTGGATAGGACACACATTGGGGAAAGCACACAAGTGCGTCACAAGACAAGCCCTCACATGGAATCCTCAAGGCCAAAGGAGGAGAGGAAGACCAAAGAACACATTACGCCGGGAAATGGAAATAGACATGAGAAAAATGAACAAGAATTGGATGGAACTAGAAAAGAAGGCCCAGGATAGAGTGGGTTGGAGAATGCTGGTCGGCGGCCTATGCTCCATTAGGAGTAACAGGCGTAAGTAAGTAAGTAACTAAAGTAGTACGAAGAGACGTAACAACACAGATCTTACATCATAGAATTAAAGACTCAACGGGACTATAAAATTACGAATACATTTTAAAGAATAAAAGCCCGTTTCTCACTTAATATCGTATTCAAATAGAATGTACATAAGAATTTGAGTTTCTGAAAAAAAGATTATTCTTCAAAAAGCCATGTTTATCGGCTTAGTAGAATAGTTTGTAACAAGCATCATTCATTAGTGTTTACGTTGAAAAAGGTGACTGAGATCTAAAGTATTACACTAAAGTTGTAACCTTCAAGCTTTTAATTCCTAAACGATCAGCGTTACATGTATAGATATTTTATAAAACCATTTATTTTCCAATAATTTAATTTCCAAGATTCATCGAATGTTCAACATGAAGCTCTAAAAATTCTAAGCGGGAAAAGAAACGATAACTGAGAAAGTTATGCATCTTTATTGAGGACCAATGTTATTATTCCTAGCATTTTCCAATATCATAATACTAGAAATCACTCTAAGTGAAACGTTTCTAGACCCTATCAATAAGTTTTTAGAAGGCATTGACAGAAGCAACAAGATGAACTTCAGTTCAAAGTTAAATTTCTTCGAAACACTAATTTTAGAGATTTATAAATCAAAATCCATTTCAAATAATTTAGGTAGCAAAAATAAATCAATTTAAACATAACAAAAGGTCGAAAGGATTCAACCTTCAAACAAAATGATTGTCCGCAATAGTTATATTCATAGATGATAAACAACGGCGAACTTACGCGACCCAACTCTTTGCCACTATCAAGTGATAAAAGTCCAGAGGTTTCGGCATACAATTTTACCTTGACTGTAGGAAGAGGTTGATTAGTTGAAAAATCACCCTGTGTACCCCACCTAAAGTTTGAAAAAATGGGAAAAAATGTTCTGTCCGTTAACAAAGTATGGTAATTATTATTGATGGTGAACATTGTAAGTTTTTGCACTAAAAACTTTAATCAATGTACATATAGCAAGATTAAAATTAACATGTTTGGGGATGATAAATGACTAAACTAATAGATCAAGTTTGAAACAATGATTATTTTTCTTTTTAACACGGTAAAACGACGGAATTCATTAAACCCAAAGCTTACAAAAGCAACATAGTCGAATAGCAGAAGAATTTACTTGCATTTCAATGTCGTGTTTTAGCATAAACCAGAGAAAGTTTACATTGTTGTTATTGATAACTATGAAAATGTATTTGGTTTTATATATGAATCTACTGTCTTAATAAGACCAACACTTCCTGTACAATGTTTCTCAAAAATTCACATCTTTTTACCTTATAAATTTAATAATTTAGACCGAAACAGAGACTGAGAGTACCCAATAAATGTTACTTTCCCTGTCCAACAAAAACTTATTCAAACTAAAAGTTTTAATTAACTTTGAATGTGTTTCCAAGCTTTCGCTTACCGAGAGCATAACCCTATGAGACAAGTCACCCTTTTTCTATCAAAACATTTTCATATTTGAAAGAAAATCAATCCTAATTTCTTGTTGGTCATCAAACAGTCAATAATTAATCAACCATGTTCACTACAGTTATTGAAATTACTTTCTTCATCTTGTTTTATTTTCACTGCTCTTCCTCTATTAATTCCTTTCATACAATCTAACAACAATATTTGTTTTTTATACAGCATAGAATACTTATTTTGTGAAATTGGTTTTTGCCAAAATAAAAACAACGGTGAAATTAATCAACCGACTAATCAAACACGGAATAATGATATCAACACTTAAATTAATGTTGATTAAAAATTAACATAATCTCTGCATAGTATACGGTTTTTCCCTATAGTATGACTGATAAAAAGCGCTTAAGACATCTTATTGGTAGTTTAGAGAATGAATCTCGATCGGTCTTTAATGACATATGTATAACCGATGAGGATCGCCTTGATTTAAATATCAATATCAGAATACAGATACATCCAGCTGATGAGTCCCGAATATGATGAAGCGCGCTCATCAAATTCTACTGCTAGCTATAGTACATTTATTCTACATATTTTGTATCATAATGGCTACATTGAGGCAATCCGCATAGGATGCACAGAGACAAAAATATATAAATCAAAATACAGTGAAGGGTAATAACAACAGTATAATCTAAAACATGCCAATTTACTGGTAAAAAATCTACTACAAAATTACAGTAATGCATTTTCCTGTATGTTACGATTGTGAAAAAGGAACGAGTACATTCTTTTTTTAGTGTTCATGGTGATCCAACACTTCTCATGTTTGATCATACTATGAGATTTGTACACTCATAATCTTCACAAATATAACAATGTGAACATTTACAATTTTGACTCCATAGTTTTATTATACTCGAGTTAATTAAATTAATCCATCTTTATCTTTCAGATGTTTTTGGATCATCCACATATGATCTCGAAAGAATACGGTAAGTCAAATTCACCGTAATTTCGTGAACGTTTGTTTTTATATGACAAAATAATAAAAAATAACCAATTTGAATTTTTGTAAATAATGTGAATATAACAAAATAACCAACACGTAAATAGATAATAATCTAGCGATGAGAAAACTACAATTGGGAGTTTCCAACGACTAAGCAAACGGTGAGAGTAAAGAAATATGGTTCCACAAATTCACAACGACTGAAAAGTTTAGGCTTATTTATATACATCTTTACGGAAATCAATGTACTTAAAAGGTAAAAGCATAAAGCAAATGGTAAGCTTGATAAAATTTGGTAGATAACTATGCAAGTTAACCATACAAATATTCGTTGTAGAGAATTGACTAGAATTAAATAGACAAGATCGTTCTAGTGCATGATAAATCACTAAAAAGAAACAAAGAGAAATGAAATCTCAACAATCATATACCTTTTATTCACAATCATTCAATACAAGGTACACAGTCAGCAATATTCATATTTGATACTTTCTACAATTAAAATTTCATTCCCATTGATTCACCTGTCTATTTCTACATTACTGTAGTTCTATAACAATATACCTTTTAATCAGCTAAGTTGATCAAAGATATATTTCCTTTACATGATTCTCTTTAAACTTGATTTTTTATAAAATAAATTAAAATATTGTATTTAGATATTTGCCCTTATTTCAAACACACTCTCCGCCTCTATTCACATTCTCGCTATAAATAACAACAATGAAAACAAATCTTGATTTGAGAGTAACAAAAAAAAACGATACAGGATGACCTTGAAATATGATTTTCTCTCTGTTTGCTCTGAATAGAGTAAAATATTTCTGGAAAAATAACAGATAATGAAAAAAGACAACATTCATAGAAAGAATGTGATAATGAGAATTTAAAATAAAAAAATCAATGAAGAGGAAAACTGAAAGTACATTAAGTATATACATTTCAAGAGGTAAGAAAATATCCTAGATATTGAAAATAATACAGAAAGATGAATTAGGCAAAGAAACATTTACCCTTCTCCAGTTAAAAAACAATCTATAAAACTACGTTGATCAATAGTTTAAGGATATTTATAATTTAGTTACGACACTAAATTTTTTTTTAAAAAGTCAAAGTAAAAATGTTATTACTAAAGACGTCCTTGCTGTATATGATTAGATAACAATTTCAAGATACATATTATAATATAATTAATGAATTTGACAACTGTTTATTTAAATATATACATTTATCCATAATGTATTGAAACTGTTTATTCAGTGATTAAGGTTAATGAGAAGAATATTGCCTGTAGACTGTAATAAATCTCAACAAAATCATTTTAGTACAATAATTAATTGTTAAAGACGCAAATAGTTATTTATTCATTGCTGACAACTTACACTGGTTTTCCAGCTTCAGCTGAATCAGTTTGTAATCGAGCCCCACCTTCAACCTCCATGGTACAATAAACCATTTTATTGGTTGGTAGATGTTTCAGATTTTTCACTTGACCAACAACAATCTGTTCGTAGTTAAAACAACAAAAAATGACCAGATTAAACAGATATAAACGGGAAAAAGTAACACTGTTGCAATAAAAATTTATATTACATTAAGTGGCCTCGGAAAAAAAACTATTGATCAGCTACTGTTTTCTATGAATATAGATTATAGGTTTCCTTGAACATGAATAACAGCGGAGAAAGTTTCATTCAAATGATGTATCACTTTATTTGAATCGACCTCGATGTAAATCTATCAGTTTACTTACTCTTATGCAGCAGATTGTACCGGCTAAACAAAGTGTTCTATTTCTAAACCAATCTTACAGTTTTATTCTAAATGGCTATCAAAAAGTGACTGAGAAACATTTACCAGCTTGATTACCAAAAACTTAGTCAACTCCTGTCACTTAACCTTACCAGGAGTATCCTGATAATCATCAATAAATGTAAATAAACCGATGTAAATAGAACACAAATCAGGAAATCGTACACATGCGGAAACGTCAGAAATTCATTGATCCAAGATGCCGTATTTATTTCAGTTTGTTCAAAAGTATATTATCAATAAAACTCACACTAAAACATGCCTCGAACCTGAATAAGCGAATTTGTGCTTAATTTCGCTGCCGAATTAGTCTAAACACTACATAAAAAACGATTTTAAAAGTACACTTTTAAGTACTCAACTATTAGGACATATATATACATTTGCGTGAAAGTATGGGTGGGTATGTGTTGTAATCCATTCAAGTAACCTAATTTATGCAGCTATATTGTAAGATGAATAGGAAACAAAATTATTATTTTCCACCAAATAAATCATTTGAATAAATTAATAAATAGAGAGATCGATGACAGCAACAAGCACAACAGCAGAAATAATAATAATGAGAGCAAAAGAAAAAGTAAAAGAAGTATAGAGTAAAAGTATAGAAATTATTATCATTAGTATTATGATTATGACCATGCCTATTATTATTATTATTATTATTATTATTATTATTATTATTATTATTATTATTATTATTATTATTATAAGTCTGCTGTTACTAATGACGGTGCTATTTCATTTGTAGTTGAAGAAAGATAATCGTTAGAAACAAAAAAAGTTTATTTATCTAACTAGAATTTAACTATTTTAAAACTGTACATTTATGTACACGCCGACTATGCCACGCTTTTACAATAACAGATAGAAAGAGGTAATTAGAAAGATGAGAAAGGAAGGGAAATGATATCTATTTCAACATAAAGGGCGAACACAAGCGTCTAGAGATAAGGGATGTTAAAGATGAGTTTGAAAAAAAGAAACCACAATGGTGGTTCGCAGTTGAATTGAAATTATCCATATCCTGCAATAACAGTAAAGCGCTTCCCTCTGATAACCAGCACCGGCAACGATACAGCTTTCTCGCAACAAAGGGAAAGAATAAGAAGAGGCCACCCCCCAAAATGTCATACCTGACCTTCCATCTCAAACACTAAGACCTTTTGAAGTGCAGAGCTAACACATTTAAAACTTCCCATAAAAAGACTGTGAGCGACCGAACTCAAGTAGTTGTCCCTTGGGCTCTGCGGTCACGCTCCCAGGTCACTAAGATCATCAATAGTTCAGCTTCCCTTCCAGGTGTCTCAAGAAAAAATATTCTCCCGCTGTGTAAGTAGCTTAAAAGTGACAAACAACCTCATAACACCACTATCATGCGAGATCATCTTCCTGATGACAAATCCCTCCCTCACCTCTTAATAGTTCTTCGACCCCCACAACTAACACTTCTTGGATATATTTATCACGACGCGCTACCAATACTGATGATTTAAGATCACGAAATGTTACTCCTAGTCTACTGAAACCACTCTTTAAACTACACGTTGTAGACTTTATTGCTTGAACCTTGTGTCAGTTAGGATAACAGGCTTCTTTAGCTAGAAATCCAGAGACTCGCACCATCGATTTATGCTACATCTCTGAAATGATCATACAGGATCTAAGTACATTCATTCATTCGACCTCATCTTGTCAGTATAAAGAACCGGCACGATTTACCTTTTGAGTATCTGGAGACCTCATTGTTACTCCCTTTGATCTCTTTAGTGTAGGTATAACATTAAATTCAAAAGTATGACAGGTTCTGTTAGGCTGGATTGCGAAAAACGGTCTCTTGTGCGCTGTCCAACTTAATGGGACAGTAACAACTTGAAAAAGATAGGTATACATACTGTAGCCTCTTCTTTTTCTATGCCGACGCTCCCAATTATTTCAACTTGAATGAAATTAAGCGTGAACTTCATTATTATTATTATTATTATTATTATTATTATTATTATTATTATTATTATTATTATTATTATTATTATTATTATTATTATTATTATTATTATTATTATTAACTTTATTCGATATTATATTTTTGGTGCAATATAGAATTATCAGCACAAAGTATTTCAACAAGTTTCTGTTTCCCACTTCTTGGTCAATACTGATGATAAATATTGAATGATCGCCAGTTAGATATTAACAATCCAGTAGATCGACATCGAAATAATCTACATTCTTTTCGCTGCATTTTGCCAGCAACCACGATATCTCTAACTGGGTCATTCTTAAATTGTACAACGAGATATTCTACTTTACGGCTGCGAAACGTGACAATTAAGAGTAGGAGATACTCGTCAGTTACTAGTATTTGACCGTAGATGCCTTGGAAATATCGCTCGCATCTGCTGGGATCATCGGGTAAGTAATAATGAGGTTAGACGTAGGGTATTAGGGAATGATAGTAAATCAGTTGATGTGGTTATGAATTTTCATCGACCGAGATGGTTGGGACCGTGCTACGTATGCCTGAACACCGTTTACCACGACTAACAATGCTGACTAGTGTTGGGGATGGTTGGAAGAAATTAAGGGGGAGGCTAAACAAAAACGTGGCGTCAGTGCTTGAAATCACTAACTTCTAGTCTGAGCCATGTTGTTGGATGCAGACTACTTAGTTGTGATCCGCACGACTATCGTAAGCAATGGTTGGAGACTCTGGGTGACATGGCTCAGAATCGGTCACAATGGCGTCGGTGTATGTACTCACCGTTTGCCCTTAAACTAAGAGATTAAAATCGCTTCATATCTTTCTTTCTACGAACTAATTCTCTCTTTTCGTACTATGTCTTTATATGCAATCTATCTTTTATATATTACCACCATTGAATTAACTACTTCTCAGAATTTGGAGTACATTGCATTGTGCTAATTAGATGCGGGAACTTGGACTGATGTATATATGTACCTGTTTCTACGTTGTAGCTGAATGAAGGTGATTTTAATGCTCAAGTAGGTAAACTAAACCAAACCTAAAGGCACTTAGGCGGATCTTACTGTGTTGCAGCTAACCAAACAGATAATAGCTGCCGTCTGTTGTAACTCTGTTTAGATAATCTACTATTTCTGGCAAACACCAACTTCAAACATAGGAAACATCATCTGACGTGGAAGCCTCTACAATCGACTCATCGATAGACTTACAAATATCAAATTTCCATCGGTCACTGTTGGAGGGGCTAGATAGAAGACTGTTGTTCATTCTGGAGAACATGTTGAGACTCGGATCAGTCGGATTAACTGGGATCTTAGCCAAAAATCTGGGAACTGGCTGATCTCGATTGCTGATCGTCCCAGATTATAAGAAAGAACAAAAATCCTCTTGTGACAATCACAGAGGAATCAGTCTAACTAATATAATGTCTAAAATGATAGTCACAATAATACTTCGGAATCTAACTAGAGCTCATGAAGACAAAACTAGGTTGGTTGCAGTCCTGGAGGTGAATGTATGGACCAGATATTCATTCTTTGGCAGGCTCTGTAACAGAGACATACCTTACGACATCCGACTAAAGTTGTATTCCTTGACTTTAAGAGAGTAATCGTCATGATATTCTGTGTTAGTGTCTATCATTGAAAGACGTACCGATGAAGAACATCAACCATGTACAGGATCCCTACTCGAACACTAATGGTCGAGTCAACTTATGGTGAACTGTTGTCAGAATTGGTCACTTCAAGGTGTTTATCAGGGTTGTTAGCTTTCCTCATTTTTATTTAACTTCGTCATAGACATGTTTTTATAGACAACAGTCTCATCGTCTCATTTCCAAGGGTTGAGCTCCTACCAGGAGTCATTTTCTGACTTACAATAATCAGATGATAGAGATTTGTTTGATGAAGACGGCATTCTGACCACTTTAGGTAACAAGGCAAGCATGTTTGGGATGCGTTCTCTTCCTCTAAATGTTAAATGTTAGTTCATGATTGGCTTGTGTTATATCCTGAATTAGTGCTGGGGGTGAAGCAGTTGGATGTATCAAGCGCTTCACTTATCTTTGGAGTATGATCAGTTCTAATAATCTAATGGCTGATAAAATCTCAGCATGGACTCAAAAGGCTCGATTGGCTTTTTCCAGCTTGCATCACATGTGGCGTAAGCGAGATATCCGTCTGTCAACCATAGGACGTTTACTACGCAGAACTTTGCTCCGTTCTACTTTATGAATGTAAAACATGGTCATTAAGAACAGAGGATATTCGTAGGTTACTGGTATTCGACCATAGGTGTCTTCGAAGCATTGCTCGTGTATTTTGGGACCACGCTGTAACCAATGGCTAGGTTAGGAATAAAGCACTAATTAAAGATAAGAAATCGATTGGGGAGGTAACATATCTTGATCAAATGAAATATTTGAGACATTTATCATATATGTCCAACCACCGCCTACCTCGATAGAGCATGTTTTCCGTAGTAGGAGTAGGGTGGAAGAAACGTAAGGGAGGCCAAACCGAAACATGGCATCATTCCATGAAGTCACTGACAATTGGACTTAGCCATATTATTAGGTGTAGACGATCTGTTAGAGGTCATGTAATTATCGTATACAATGGTTAAAGACTTTGAATGATATGGCCGAAAATCGTTTGCAATGGCACAGGTACATCCGTTCTTTGTCTTCTCCAAAATCCCAAGCTTCTGAATTCCTGATAAATTGTTTTGTTTTCATTTTACTAATTTACTTGTTCTCGAATCGTATCTTCGATGCCAAATATTTCCTATTACCAGTGATACTGTCACTACCTATACTATTCTGGAATTTGGCCTGACAATTTCATCTCTCTGCGCTAATGGAACAAGGCGACTTGCACTGATGTATATACGTAACAGATTCTACATTGTGACTGACTGATTAATTTCATCTCCTCGTACTAACACGTTGGGCCAAAGAACATTTGTGTCAAGCACTATGTTGATCATGTCTGAATGATTTACTTGATATTAAAATGAACAACAAAAAAACTCACCTCAACTGAAAAACTTAATTGAATACCCAATTTGTTCTTGAAGTTCAATTCATTAATTTCATCATTATGTTCTTTATAAGGAAGACTAGGTGAATTTGTACCAGAATTTTGTGACCGGCTAGCTTTTTTAAATTTTTGAAAGCTACTAGAACCTCTAGCCACTGGAACAGACTCTAATCGAAGCATTAATTCACCAACCATTTTACGCAATTCATCTACATATAAACTTTCCATATTTTTTACAACTAAACGAGGAAATTGACGACTCTAAAATACAAAAACAGAGAGTAGAAAGTACAGACATAATTAATAAAGTAATTGATGCTAATGAAGAAAATATTGAAAATCAACCAAATATAAGAAATATTAGTTTAATTTTTATACAAGTAGTGAGATGCCCAATCGGAAAAAAATAAAAACTTCAATAAGTTAGTGGAGCTATTTAGATTATTCTAAATTTTTATTGATAATTCTGTAGTAAAACTGCACATCATGCTATAATAAGTGCAGAGTAATCAAACAAACGTAGTCTCAGAAAAATTCCTTAAGAATATAACTGTTCATCAATAATCTTTATCCAGATAACAAACCAATTAAAAACCAAGTCAGCCAAACTACATATCCAGTTGAGAGTAAGCAAATTTTCTGATGATCAGCACCAAAGAACTACACAAATGAGATATTAGTCACTTGTCAGTTATTAATCAATACAATTTAATTCATTCAAATCCTACATAAAATTACTTAAACTCCTAGAAAAATTCAGGTTTGAAGCTGATAAAACTGTTCTCACAAGGTGCTCAGTTGACACGTCATTTGGAAATATTAATAAATTATTCATAATATTTAAACAGCCAAGTTAACTGGTATACTTAATTCTCTACTCTAGATGTCTTTTAATCTATCTTCAGTGCAATAACTACCAAACAAGTGAATCAGATACCAACGTTAAAAAAAAACTTGAATTGTCTACTATAGACTTCCAGTTGATTTGTTAGATTATATCTAGTTATTTAGATGGATCCAATAATCTTTAATTTTATCCTCCTAATATTTGTTTTATAATGTAAACAGAGACAGAAACCATACTATGAACAAACAGAATAACATCTGGTATTCTAATTATGAACAATTCGAGGGAAAAAATCAATTTCAATAACACATAATTATGGTATGTAATACACGTAGAAAAGAAAGAATGAAATACAAAATGGCCAATAATTCTAAACAATGAGAATTACATTTCTCAATTAATGACATAATAATCATCATCATAGCAATAAAAAATATAAAGTTATCAAACATAAATATAAGAAAATACATCAACGGTCAAAAAATTTAACAATCTAGTAGTACACTGAGATGAATGACTATAGAGTAATGGTATCCTAAGAATTGTACTGAATAGTCATGCACTTTTCCTTATTTGTTTGTTATTCTGTTCATTGAATTTTCTCTTAGATTCTGTTAAATTATATTCTTTTTAAAATCTAATATAACAAAAAATATATTAGGAGGACATATTTCTATAGTTGATCAAATGTGACAGTGAAACAGTACACATGAATGTGATTTTCTTTCTTAAAGTGAGCTAAATTAAAAGATTAATAAATTCTTTTATCAAATTAGTTAAATGATTTATGAATAATTCAATGAATAATCTCATAAATGATAAAAATCAATCATTCTATTTATAAGCATTAATCTATTCTAATAAAAAATATAATCTCTATCACATACTCTAGACAACTCTTCAACTGCTTGTAACTGTCCATCTAATTCACGACGAACTTGAGCAGCTTGTTCATCAGCATTGTCTAACTATTTTAGAAAAAAAACACAAATATAATGAAAAAGTAAAAAAATAAATGATGAAAACAACTTGTGCTTTTCAAAATAAAAATAAAATATCTGATTGAACTACACATTAATTTATGTAAAGAAAAGCATTCAGACTTAACGATTTACCATAGCCTTAATCGATCAAAAAATAAACTTCAATGAATTATTACAAAATTATGGGTAAACAGAAATAAAATTTGAATATTTGATGAATAGTTTGACGAAATTTCGAAAAATATTGAACTTTGACAAAACCAATGAAAGTATCGACAATAACTAAAAAGTCATTCATCGTTAGGTTTTTACGTGCAAAGAGGTCACTAATGAGAAGGAAAACTTACAAACAATTAATTTCACTGACTATACTTTAGCATAAGATACAGGGGCCTATACACAAAAATTTCAAAAAGCACTTGAGTACGATCACCAATAGACATACATGAAGCAAACAGTCAGTTAATCAATAGCTTATAAGTCCAAACTAACGGTGTAAAGCTAAAATGAACACCAGATATTGAATTAACACAATCACTTTCTAAACATTTTGTAGTTAATTTCAATAAATGAGATCATCAGCTAGACCAACATGGGAAACCTAGAAGCACTGCACGGCCGTTTCGTCCCATTGTGGGACTCCTCAGCAGTGCGGATCCATTTAACACCGTTTGGTGTCGGCTCAGTGGTTAAGCGCTCGCGCGCGAGACTGATAGGTCCTGGCTTCGAATCTCGCGAGGCGGAGTCATGTATACGCACCGTGAATATGACTACACAAAATACTTGATACTAATTATGCTTATTAAAGAAAACAAAAGAACCAAAATCAATCCAAAACAATCTAAATAAGATGATTTTCTAACAATTACTTCGTACTATTAAAGGAACCCAATTGTATTAGGCCATCAAAAAAGTGGAGCGAATAGCAAAAAGTAAGAGATTAATTTCAACAGAAAAGAAGAGTGATCAACAGTCATAAACTTCATACGGTATGCTTATCTCAAGACAAAAATGGAATAAAGAACCTACAGATGCTTTGCTAACATCCATATTACAAAGCGATATACATGAATTTTGTCTTAATCTTCTTCGATTAGTAAAAGCAATACCTTTAACTCAACTTTTTACATCTACGATGAATTATTGCTTGGTCGATTCTTACATGCAACATAGTCATCAAGCTTTATTAACGATAAAAACAGATCACGATTACTCTAACTTATGAGTAGTATTTGTTGTACAGTTTTAAACTTTATTCATATTGTTTGTTGAGACAAATGCTCAATGAAAATATGTTCGATTTGAAAAATGTGTTCATCATGGAATGAAAGCAATCAGCCCCAGTACTAAATTGTTATCTGGTATTCTCATAGTGTCTCACAGTGGCTCATAGTGTCGCTTAAACTTATATTAGCTCGTGATGAAATCCATTTTCAAATAGAACAAATTTTTACGGACCATCCATCTAAAGAATAACCATGGATTCATCAGTATAACTAACGTCAAGTGTATTCTTGAAGCCCTGGTAAGATGCTATGACTATAGAAATTTAACAATGTTGGATATGAAACAATTAGCATGGACAATAATATACTATTGTTTACCAATATGTGGCAAATTAACTGAATTCCGATACAAAAATAACTGGATTCCAACACAACAGCCGAGAAATCTCTTGTTTTTGCTATCGCTGAAAGTTCATAGTTCGGTCCTGCTTAAAGTAATGAGTTGGTGCTGTTTTCAAGCAGCATAACTAAGACCAGACAGTTATCCAGTTCATGATGACAACTACGCCTCAAAACTTGATTTATAACTGTTTCCAAGACCGGAAATTCTTACTGTCTCGCAATAAAAGTGATAAACAATTTAAAAATACCGAAAATATTACTTTATTTTGAAATTCTCTTTATTTTAAAATTGGTGTTAGAATGTGGTAAAAGATAGGCAAAGCTGAATATAATTCACCTACTGAATATAATTGTACGTAATAAACCTTATAAAGTTCTACACTACGGAAGGAAAGAATTATTTATAGAATGTCTTCTTAAGAGGTTTTTCCTAAGATTAAATTGTACGCTTGCAAATCTCAAACACATACATACACATTCGTTTACGATACTATATTTCCGTAACAAATAAACCTAGCACCTGAGTACATAACGACAAAATAAGACATCTGACAAAAAAATGAAAAATAAACAGTCTATATTTATTCTGAAAAACAATGTCTTTTTACTAAAAATGATATGATGTTTGCATAGACCTGTGTTAGAATTTAGAAAGATGTGTGAGTTCTGTTTCTTGTTGTCATATATATATAACCTATCTATATATAACGAATAAACGATACATCTTGTTAAACACTTTAGGCTCATAATTTGAAGAGGAAAATATGGGGGAAGGAGAGACAAATGAACAATGACTTCGACAAAAACAACATAAATCGACTGTAGAATTTCTAGTACACAAAAACTTTTTCATTATTGGCTTAATTTTTTAGTGAAAAAAACTTACTAACGTATTAGATTTCCTATTAAGAATTTAAAGAAACGAAGATTCTTAATTATGTGATTCATGAAAAACAGCAAACTAATAGAGAAATAAAGTATTTCAAGTGGAACAATGTAACAGAATAACGTGAAACGCCGTACACCAATGCACCTATTCAAAAACTAAGTGAGCAATATACAGGTAAAATAAAAAAACAAAATGCTAAATATATTGTAATCAAAAGGAAAAGAATTCATCAACAGATTATAAAATGTTTCAGTCTGACAGGGAAAATAGTGAAGATGCAGGATTCAGAGTTTTCAAAACGCGTGAAATGGCAATCAAGGGTTTCAAAATATGTTTTCCCCTTTTTAGACTTAAAATATTGCATCAGGACTAGTTCATGTTAAGGCCGAACTTGACACAAAGGAGTCAAGAAAGTGATAAATGAGGCTATTCGCTTAGCTCAGGAGTATCGTCAGTCTTGGTGTATGAAAAACTGACGAGAAATAAAATCCGAGAATTCCGTTAAATTATTTTACACTTGTCAGAAAACATGAAGTAATTTTCTTATTACACTGTCTGACATTACAAAGAGATATTAACAAAAGTGTTACGAAAGACTGTGCAGTTCCAAAAACAATATCCAAGCTGTGAAATCAATATAATTAATTACCCGTAGCAGCACAAGGGACCAAGTTGGTCACAAATTAATTATTCATGAAACCTCTGTACTTTATTCCTAACTTTTAGAATGGAACTCAAATATAGGTAGTCGGTTACCGGACTGTGTAAGCCTTTCCACTGCTTTGAAGATACATATATATATATATATATATATATATATATATATATATATATATATATATACTCAAAACTTAATACATTGCGTTAAATTACTAAAATCATTAGATAAAGAGATAACTCACTTGTAGTGCATTGTACAAAATTTGATGTTCATATTTTTTTACTCCTAATGTAGCTTGAAACAATTCATACAATTGTTCTTTAGTCATCACTAATTCAGGCTGAGGAACCTGTAATTTTTGTAAAACCGTAGATGGTCCAGCACCACCACGACATATTTGATCAAACTTTACCATCCACGCACTGACAACATTCGCTTTATTCAAACCTTCAATTTCTGGTAAAAACTGTACACGGTGTTCACTATTTAATCGAAATACTTCACGAAAGTCATGCATTGAACAACCACCGCCACGAACCATACTAGCTACACGATCACTATGTAAAAATCCCTGTTAATGAATTTCAGAAAAGAAAACCATAACAGAAATAAGGATTCTTAGTATAGAATAACGTTCATTTAAGTAATAATGCAAGTATAAATAATTACCCATTAAGTAAACATATAACGTTTTGATGATACAATTAGTTCAGTCAAGCTTCCTTCTTATCAAAAGAAAAGAGAATAATACAGAACTAAAAAGATAATTACTTTCTCTTATTAAACACACATTAAAAATAATAAGATTAAATAATGAATACAATTAGATCTTATCAAATAATGAGAATAAAGTAAAACTATTTGACTAACTCATGTTGATTTATCATACGAAACAGTGAATTCAACACATTTTGAAAAAATGATCATTTCAAAACAAAATGAATCTTCATTTTCCTCAAAGCTATTTTAAACATCTTATATATTTATATCTAATTACAATCTATAAACAAAAATTAAATCAGATCTTAATAGCAACGAGTGATTAGTGATAAAATTAAGGAACGGTAAACTACATAAGATGAATAATCTATTTGCAAGTGAACATAAACTGTCGATTACAGAAAGTCATGAGACTGACAAGAAAAAATTAATCCTCAAATCAACAGTTCAAGTTAATAGAAGTCACATATAACAAATGAAACTCATCAAGTGAAACTATTGGTGTACGACCTAAATGAAATGCATACAACGTTGAAGACACCACAAAGATATCGCGTAACACCATTATTACGTAATATTATTCTACTCGAAGTTAAATTATTTACTAACCCCATGTTTATGCACTAACTTTGAGCCATAGGTAACACATGAGAGCTAATAATAGCAAGCTAACGAAACAAAAGTGGGTGCAATAAGTTTCAAAAATCTGTGACTGATTGATTGAAAGCCAACTGCTTTAATCACTAATCCGCAACTCTATAGACAGATTCTTCAGAAGCAATACGACTGAAATGAACGAAATTTCACCAAACAATTGACTGTTATTGATTTATCATACAACAAAATTGTAACAACTGGTTCTTTGTCTGTTACATTCGAGTAGAAACATATACAACGGCGTGAGGTTGGAACACAAATATAGACAATGTTATTTTTAGAAATAAAAGGGAAATGAAAAAAAGAAATGTGACAATGAAGTACATTGTTGAAGATTGGATAGTATAATACTCTTTCCCAGCATGTAAGTGGTACTTAACGAACTACCCGAACCTAATATAAGATTATCATGTTAAACTGATTCATAAAACATATATTTCTTACTATTATATTTAGACTATAAATAGCAATGGTATTCAGGACGGCTATTTCGCCTAATTTTTTACGCGTCAATTGGATTTAGCTGTGCTTCAGTGTTCATCTTTGCACTGACACTGGAGCTTAGTACCTGTCATTACGAACGCCAACATTTTACACACTAGCCTACTAGATCTAAATACCAAGTACCTTGGGTCTTTTATTCGACATAATCATAACCTGGATAGATAAAACTAAAACTTCGATTTGTTTCGCCTTAAATTCATTAATAATAATGTGACCGATAATCAATTACTTTGTACCATTCTGTTCTCATGAACAGCTCAACCTAAAAATCCAAGAGAACAACCATTTCTCAATTCACAATACCAACCTATGCTGTATATGTAAACGATATTCACACATATAGCTTAGTGACGACGATTATATGAACACCAGCACACGAAGAGATACACTAGAAGAAACTGTTTAAAAGTTATAAGATCAATCTAAAAGTGATAAGGTAAAATAACCCCTTTGTTTAAATGAGTGCGTGTGACTGCCCATACGAAAGTTATAATAAATTCCTAAATATTAAGCGCTCCAGGATGCGATTACAATATCCGATTCACTTAAGCTTCCACTACGATCATTTTTTTGATATCATCAAATAAAATTGGGATTCGCTCAGAGTTGACCTTAAGAAACTTGTGGACGAAAAATGAAATCAATGTTTAAAAAATACTCACAGTCCTTTTAAAAATGTTTAAAGGAAACTGAACCAAGCCCACATTCTTTGATTGGGGCATCAATGTAGTTCTAACTCCAGTACACAGTTACACTGTCGTTACCGAATTGGTTGGTTGGTCGACTGGCTATTATGTGCTGGAAGACGATAACTCAATACACAAATTGATCAATCTGAAGAAACAAATTAAAGACGAAGCGCCACTTCGTTTGAAAATATATGCTTCCGAAGAGAAACTTGAATACGGTTAGCTAAATGACGTGACTCAAGGTTAGAGATACTACAAGCCGAAAGAATATTTATTAATGATTTCCTTCTAAAAATAAACATCAGTATTTTCTATTTTCAATCTACTGGGAACCAAGTAATGATCGCAGGAGTTTAAATAACTCAAAATGCTTACCTACTGAATGAATAGTGGATTTTCGAAGCTTGCATGAATACGAAACACGTGAACCTGTGTGTAATTAATCAACCAATCAAACTGATTGTTGATAAAAATGTATAAACGCATAATTGAATTGTCATATTTAATTCATAATACTCACTTCATAATAACTTTGTATGGCATTTGTAAACGCTTCGTCACCGACAACATCTAATTCCCCACTAAGAAATGCCTGAAAACGTTCTTTAAATGTATTCAATTGTTGCTTAGTTATTTTTAAATAACGACGTATTAAATCTGTCGGTGGTTTGGAATAAAATGGATATGCTATGCAACGCATTACAAAGACATATCTAAAAAATAATACAAGAGGGAAAATATATTAAAAATAAACAATATAGGAATTAGGCAGTACTACATCAACTTAGAATCAACTCAATTCAGTGTTTACTCTATATATATGTGTAAACAGTTATATGTATCGAATTTAATGTAGCTGAAAAAAAGTATATGGGTTTTGTGAATCCAATTTAAATAAAAAAAATGCTAAAAATTTATCATATATTGCCTTGCCACTTTATTGTATAAATTCCCTTTTTAAAAAACATACAGTTTAATCTATTCAATACCATTCAATACCATTAGATGAAATAATATTTATTTATGACAACAATAAACAAACTGCACATTAAACCATAAAATTTCAAACGTTGAATGGATGCGAAGCTCGATGCGAAGTCGATCAATTAAATGAGAAACTTTGTGATACTACTAATACTACTACTAATATTATTGTGTGATAAAAGTATTGAATGATAATCTCAATGAGTATTCATGTGCAACTATCTATCAAAAATATGTAGATAAATTGAGATGAGATATCACTTCACTAAATCACTGATTATTGATTTAAGTCAATTACAAAAGTAAAATAATGCATGGCAGAATCCTGATCTTTTTAGCTTCATGATTACTCCCTTAATTTTCTCATTTTATTTATATATTTTCTGTTTAATTTCATAATCGCTCATTTTTGTTATTTATGTGAAAGGTTGGTACATTCATTAATACCTGTTTATCAATGTTATTACCATATAATCTTACGAAGATTATAATGAATTGAAAATTTTATTGATAATAACATTATTAGCGAAATTAAACTGGGATTATAATCTGTTGCATAAATTACTTTAATAAATATTCTTATAAATAATTATGATCGATTATCCCATAAGATTCAGTTGGCCACCAAACTGATTCTTCTAACTAATTGATTGATTAATCAGAAAACAAACTATGACTGCGAACTTCACTTTCTATAATTCATATAATTTCATATACACATCAAATATCATTGTATAGCCTTGACTGATACATGGCAAGTAATCTATATTAGCTAATGCACACTAGTTTTGACCACCCAAAAATAAACAGTAAAAAATAAGGAAAACAATTGAGGAAGTCAGGTGATACGTTCGATTATTATTATTATCATCATCAGGATCATTCTTTTGTCTTAATTAATAATAATAGTAAACAGAATAGAAAAAGCATGATCAGAAAGAGAGAGGAAGGGAAAGAGATAAACAAACGATAACGGTATAAAATTAAGCAATCCAACTGACAAGCGAAACTTGTTCAAAACAAAACACGAATAAGATCAGGATGTTTCGCTTAGACATTTATATCTTTGAAACATAGTTTTTGAGCTAATATATGTAAATAAATTTTTGTGGTTGGTAGAATATGATTTAAAATGGATAATTGGTAATAGTCATAACGTTCAGTATACATAAAACGACATATGGGTAATGTTCACTTTGAACAAGTTTATTTATTTTGCCGTATTATTTTGTGATGTATGTGTGGTGATTTGTAAGTCATACACGAATCCAGCTTGTATATCTATTTTTAGCGATCAAGTAGGATATTTTAACAAATTTTCATTCACGATTTAGTACTTTTGACACGATTAGAATATTATATATGAACTGTAACATGATGAAATCCAGTAGACGTGATTTGTCTTCTTTTTGTACCCGTCAAAAGCATATATAGGGTTCAACTATGGTTTACGATTCCAAAAGAGATACTATATGTATAAAGTATAACTGACACATTTAAAAAAAACCAAACATTTGAAAGGTTAAAAATACCATAGAAAAAAATACAATCATACAACACCGATTTACCACAACAGAAGGTATGACACGACAGAGATGAAAACTTCTTTTTGATCCACATCTGTATATATAAACATTATTATTTTTCTTTTCAGTAAGTTACAATTGAACAGATACTTACAATTGTAGAGCTTTACGTCTTTCTTGTTCTTCACGTTCAAGCTTTTCTTGTTCTAACGCTGCTGGATCTCTAAGAATAACAACAGGTTGATTAATCACAGTGCCTAAATCTTGACTCTGTGATACTAATGATGGATTTCGACTTTCGTGCTTTTCTTGATGAGATTCTGTAGATTCTGCATTAGGAGCGCTATTTGTACTATTCACACTGTAGGAACTACTTCCATGCGTTTCACGAGCATATCGTTCCACAGTATTATGTTTCAAAAACTTTGATTGTGATTGCTGTTGTGGCGAATGAGTGTTTAAACTCATAGAGGACATAGATATTTCATCATCTTCTTGCATACTGCTATAAGTTTGATGTTGAGATTCTTGACTGAGAGAAAAAAAAAGAAAGAAAGAACGATATTATCATATCTGAAGTCTTGAAACTTCAAATACAATCTATCAATCGAACAAATGTTAAGACCATTTGGTTCTATAACAAGTAAAGAACTACCATAAACACATAGATATATTATATTATCAGGTTCTTGAATATTTCCTTTTTAGAAATAAAAGCCCTATAAAATTAAAAAATCTTCATATAAGAAATTTTAATACTGACAAGGTCAATCCACAAATCTGTAGAAATTTAGATATTATGAGATAATTAACCAGCTTTAATCGAGTTATTTTCAAGACACACAATTAATTGTGTTGGGGTGATCCGGCAAAATTCTCGCAAAAGACAAGCAAGGGTCAGGAAGCACTAAGAAGCATTTCCTCCAATCAGCGTTCATCTGAAGTTTTAGCCAAAATATCAAGGAAGTGAAACGTCACGTGAAGAGGTCCTGACTGGCTGATTGCTATACTGCTGCTATGTTTAGTAGCATTAGAGAATCTTCGAACAACTCAAGGACAGTTAAAAATATTATAAAAACCCTATATTTTCTGTGTTAAAATGAAGTAAAAATGGAGTAAAGTGCTTCTCGCATACTTTGCGTCTTCTCTCTCGTTGTTCAAGTCGCTGTATATTTCTAGCTTGGGGGTTACAGAATAGCTTAGGAAACGAACATAGCGTTCAATTCGCAAGACTTATCAAAAAGTAACAAAAACACAGGATTGGATTGATTCATGAAGAATATGTAGTAGTAGAGTTCAGCAGTATTAGTTGTTTTGTGCCTCGGACTGTAAAGTCAACACACAGTTCTCATACTTAATATCAATAATCTAATCAAGTAAAGGATGGGAATTAATATTTTGGAACTTACTACACGCTTTAAGCTGAATGATCTCTGATAAGTAACTGAAACTGTAAGCTTTCAATAACCAATCTAGCTAGTGGATATTTCTTAATAGTTCTAAGTATATATAGTTTCCCATTTTATTCAATAATATGTGACGTTAAGATTTCAAACCACCATTCACGAGATCTAGTTATGAAAAACAAATATGTATTAGAATCTAAACAATAAGTGTAATTTAGATCCCACCAAATAAGGTGTTGCTTAATTAGCTTAACAACTTTTCATTTACACCATCCAAGTATTCCTATACATCATGAAAAGTGAAAATCTTTAATTTCATATAATCATCCACACTTATTGTACATATCACTTCTTAGAAAGTGGCAATTCGAGCTACTCACAAGATATTTATTACTTAGACTAAAATAGTCTTTAAAATGTAGAACAAGTGTTAATTAAGAACATCGGCGTATTAAAAAATTCATAAATATTCACAATTTTAAAGTAGAATATGAATTTCACGATAGCTATAGTCTAAGTAGATAACAAACTAAGGAGACACCCAGTTATTCAGTCATCATCAATTTAGAAACTAGCACAAATGTGCGTTGGGCCAAGTTGCCGTATCACAACATTACGATGAGATGAAATTAACAAGATGAATGATGAAAGTCATAATAATGAAAAAGACAAAACATTCAGAGTGTGATTCGAAAAGACAATCAAAAGGTATGTATGAGGGGATTCTAGGACTTAAGATGCAGAGTAGGGTAAGAAATAAACGCATTTATGTCAATGTGGCCGATTCTGAACCATGTCGCCCAACATCTTTAAGCAAGAGAGCGATTATTACCCGAAAGCCAACCAGGGAGTCTGGAGAGACATCCGAGTAACATATTAACTTGCATTCAAAGAAATCAGCAATTCGATTATCAGAAAACTAAAAAAAAATCAACCACCTCGATATATCCTCATATGCTGATTTTATTTAACAGAGAACTTAGCCAAAATGACCAAGAAGCACATTATTTATAACGGATATTTTCAAATGAGTGATATAACACCTTGGTGTTTAAAATAAATAAGTATTAACAACAAATTTTAAAAAACTGCAAAATATTATCTTATTTTGGAGAAAAGTAAAATCTACACTAAAATAGATCGCTATTACAGTAATACTTCAAATTAAACATTAATAATTATACATTCAGTGACATTAAAGTTTTCTTAGTTCAACTATTAGAAAAATCTAGCTTACGAATCACTACACTGTTACAGTTCCATTGGAACTCGCATATTGTTCTTTCCTGTGCTGGGAACCTAATCTATACTTAATATCGAGTAATTCTCGGTTAATCAATGTATTATTTAGAAAGGCCGAATGTTCGTAAAAATATCACAAGAAAAACTTATGATTCATTGGAAGCAGTTGACACAGTAAAGAGGAATTATATACAAGATGACAGTAAAAAAGCACTAGATAAAAATAAAGATTCATTACAACAACTTGGTTTTGTATTACATAATTAACTATTGCCCTGATGATTTATTTAGCCTTGACTATTTTCTCTTTGTGATGCAGTAATTATAAAATTCTACTCAAGATTAACAAATAAATATAACAATTCAGAATTATATAGTACCAAAGTCATTAAAAAACAGATGGATATGTTAAATAATACTATTTATACAGGAAACGAGCGAGAAAGCACAATTATTAAGGGGTTTAAAATTAGCTACAAAACATATTTTAAATTATTTATTCCATTAAAATGGGTGAAGAAAAAAACAAACCTGTAAACACTGCGTGAAAATGTTTCATTTGTCCATTGACGAGATGGTCGGCCTTGTTGACTAGAAATTACTTGACCTTTTGATGCTAGCGTATGACGTTGTTTAGAATGTGGAGAATGACTATGATCGGTACTATCAATCTGATGGGAAGAAACTGAATTTTGGCGTCCATATGTAGTGCTAACATCATTAGAAGTAGTACGTAAAGACCTAGACTGCACACCTCGTTGTCCTCCCCCGACGTTATCTGCTGGTACCCGACTAGTTGTAAGAGCTACACTTGACTGAACTGGAACTTTACTACAAACAGCAACATTTGACACAGTGGATTTATTTCCATAATTTGTAAATCCACTTACACCTTCCTCTTCTTCACTTGATGAAGAATCGAGCATTATTTAAAAATATAGGGACAAGTGTGAATAAGAATTCTGAAATAAAAGGAAAACAAATAAGAGAAAAGAGTCCAAAGACATTCGCTAATAAGTGAAGCAAAGAAAACACAATAATGTGACAACTGTCTCTGAAGAAAAATGCGAATTTGTTGATAATATATTTAAAAATGTACTTAACGTAAATGTAGTCGGAAAATATGACCCCAAATATCGATCATTTTGAAGTCCCACATGCTCATAAATTACGCCTCATAAAAACAAAAACAAACAGCTTGACAGGTTGATATTACAAAAATGAGGCGAGATTTGAAGAAAACTTAGGAATCTACTTAGTCTGTGTCGCCAGTAAATCAACACAAACTTCATCCCCTACTATAGAGACCAAGAGATGCAACAGTTGAATTGACAAGTTAATATGGTATGGCAACTATGGTAGATCGATATTTGCCAGCTCATCAGCTAATTATGACTGACTTCGATTCAAATTCACAGAATACTGAAATACAAACAACTTAAGAACATCAGTTTAACAAAAGTTACTTCCGACTATCGTTGAAACAATCATATCTCATTAGAATTTCAAACTGAAATTCAAATATCCATTTTAAACATCCATTACCAATAATCTCCGCTCCAGTAACAAGTATTATGAAACACATTAAAACTTGGAAACGATAGTTCAATTATCGAACAAAGTTGCATTCTGATCTGCTTCCTATTTTACATATCTTAATTATATCTCCTTTATTAGAAAGAGCAAAATGGATATACATATAATTATGCAGAAAAAAATAAAAGAAATTTGTTTGCACTAAAATCCAGTCCTTTTAAATATATTTGACGTTACACAATAACACCAATTACTGGATTTTTCTTTCTTTGAAACAAAGATAAAAAAACAGACAGTACATACGGTAAATGGAAGATATGTTGATATACCATAAATATAAAAGTTTTATGAGAATCAGACATGAAAATCCGCTTGTTTGTAATCCCTATTTTTATACTGAAAACCTAAATTTAATTTACGACACGAGTTTCGATGAAGTGGATATTTTCTAATATATAACCATAAGTTTTGATTATGAAGAGAACAACTAGTTTTGATTTCCTTAAACACCTAACACGGACAACTCTTTATCGTCTGTAAATACCAGGCCCCAACTTTCTTCCAGCCATCTCCAACACTAGTCAGCATTGTGCGTCGTGGTAATGTGTTCAGGCATACGTAACATGCGGCCCATTCCCGAGTTATACCCTGCCTATCAGTTACTATCTCCCACATTCACAGCCACATTTGGGCAAATCTTATACAAACGTTATTTCCTATTTTATGGTACGATGTGGTCTGTTTAGTTGGTATATAAACCCAGTATATTTGAAATAAATTATTCATATCGCAGAGGCTGAGATCTGTGTTATGAAATTAACAGGCTGGGCTAGGCAGGAAGCAGGACCGATAAGGACTCTAGACTGCTCGTACGGGTATTATGCGTTATTGGTCCGGTCGATAAATTACTGTTCCCTAATTGGCGGTATCATTACATTATACATTCATAGGGGCACAAACCCACAAGTTATGATAATTGGCGACGGGATGAAAAAAAAAGAACCAAAGGCACGAAACTGCAAACTATAACACTTCTCATCACTGAGTTCAACTCTAATGGGTCGTCTTAATATGGCTCTTCTGCGTCTAGTGAGGCGCAAGCAAATCCGTGCTCGTATCAGAGCATGACTAGAGTCTAAATATGTATTCCAGAACGAGCGACAGTCTTCTGTCGACCCTCTCCAACGATAACTGATGACAATATGATATACTTAAGTCCATCGCTGCAGAGAGTCACCACGTAAGACGATGTCTCTCCTTATGCTTAAAATTAGTGTCCGCTAAAAATAAACAATTTTCTGAGCACAGTTGCAGCAGATGGTCACCATTATCTGTTCAGCTTTATGAAGTTCAGAAAGCTTTCTGTAAAATCCATTTTTACTTCATCCAGACTGCAGTCGGTGGGAGCGTAGGCAACAACGGTCCGGATAATTTGGAATCATGAAGAATTATTCAAGAAAATAAATCAGAAATGTTTATGATTGGCACATGCTGCTCAGTAAAAAACACTGGTGATAATAATCACGAATTTGGCTTAATATCTACATATCTAGATTGATTTCACAATCACTTACGCCCGAATAAATCCAAAGTAACACACTTAACGAGCATATGTTTATTTACTCAGCTTTGAGTCACTGAGTAGCTAATAATACTACTTAAAGATGCCCAAAAAGGAGTGAAGCGAGGTTCCATCCTGAAACTTATTGGATGAAAGCTGTATATATTGCCTCAGCACCACATCAAGTCATATGTTTAAGCCTATCCCATGTCGGGACGAAACGATCGTTTAGCGCTTCCAGATTTTTAACGGTTACCACACCAAGATCAAGTACTCTCAAATGCCCTGGTACGGCCGAGAGTAGGGAGAGTCCGCTCTCCCTATTCAAATGCTCTCACATGGACACGCGTATATAACCACTGCCAGGGAAGTCCTATGTTGTTTACGAAATTGACAGGACGAAAAGCGAATGTCCGGAGCCTTAACCGGGCTGGTGGATACGGAGAGTCCACCTAAGGGAGTTGGAAAACCCTGATTCCAAACCAATGGTGCACATGGGCTCCAGTATCCTGAGGGAACAAATAGCGTATGAACAAATCGTCGGTCACCGGCCATCATGGGACTGCATCTCCTCACGATGCTACACTGCCTTGTGGATCAGACCTTTGAGTCAAAGGCTCGGGGTGTGGCCCCCTAAGAAAGCCACCTGCCTCGGTATGGGCACCCTGGCAATATTACAGCCCTCACACAAATCAAATGAGATTTGTGTGGCGCATATGTATTTGATGCCTCCATGTACCACCATCTATGTGTTGAAATAAATAAATAAATAAATACAATAAGATCAAGTTGTGGTTTAAACGATGGAAATTCTACAATCTTCACAAACCCCCCTATACTAATAATCATATTTGCGTCGAACTTCCGAATAATAATATTGATATTAAAGACCGATACAAATCAGTTATCTTTTTAAACATGTTACTACTGAAATTAAACGTCGTAACATCAATTCAATTACACATAATCATCTTTGTTTCCTAATTATCACTGTTCATCTATTACGTAACCGGTAAAAAACATGATCAACTGAGTCCCATATATAATAAATATAAACGTTCCGGACTAACCTACGCGCTACAATAAAATACACTAAAGCGAAAACTTCACAAATTTAAATGACGGGAAATATAATTTCAACGGGAAGTTTTCCTCCATATCACTATGAAAGGTCAGGATGACGGACCAGCTGATAGAGTTACAAAAGCTATAATATACGAGTTCATTTGTGTTTAAAATTAAAAGTTCCCTAACCATTTTGTAATATTCCTAAATGAAATGTTTACACAAGTTTGACATATTTCAAAGCAAATAAATTTTTACGGGTTTTATTCGGCAATGCATACCTTCAGCAGAGCTACCTTATATCACCGGTTTTATTGATAATTATTATATAATGAATTTTCAACTCGAATTCTAAGCTATCAAGCCAATGAAGTCATATACCTGTGTATGCAGAACTTGTTGCGCATACACATACTGAGGAAAAACAATTGTAATCATCGTTTGTGTCTGGAAAACAATGATTATTTGGTACAACTAATATTTTTTTACAATAATGATCTTTCCTGCTTTTTGTTCCAACCTATAAAATTTTGTATTGTAATATGAACTTGTATTAAGTTCAAGGCCTAACTCTGTCACTGGAATATATATAAAAATACACTTAAAATATAATTTAGTTTATTTAAAAATAGAAAGCTGAAATATAAGCGTAAATTGATTACCTTACTGTGACTAATATTGAAAAAAGCAAGTTCATTTCAGCATAACAAAAAAACATAGAAGTTATTGATTTGTAAACACTAGGATAACATAGATAATGTTTTATATTTTTAGTCCCAAATTGTTTTAAAGACTTATTTTATTATTTTATTAGAACACATAAATATTGGTACAAGAGGGCACCAAATATATATGCGCCACACAAAACAATGAGAATTCCAAGAGAAAAAAAAGAAGGTAAGGAGCGTTAAAAAAGACGAACAATAACGAACAGATTAGTGTAAATTAGTGTAATAGTAATAAAAATAATAATAATAGTAATGATGGGCGAAAAGGAAAGGTACAATCCGAAGAAGTCTTTCAGTTAAAGAAGAAATAAACATTTTTTTATGAAGAAAGTAAAAGAACGATACAGCAGGATCGCCACTGGCTTCTATTCTGAGCCATATCTGATAACGTCTCTAGCCAATGTGTTGCACCACCTCTCGGACCCCAGCCAGGGATTCGTGAAGGACCAACAGAAACCAGCCCTTTGTAGCTCAATGTTTACTTTTAAAATTATTGTTATTCATACCATATCATTTTGATCTCTTTTGCAACTCATTTTTATCTCGTCTTCCTCATGTGGAACGACTACTCGAGCCGATCCACTTATGTCGAGACCTACGTTGTTAATGACTGGCTGAATTTGGTGTTAAAATCTAAGCGTGGTTTGATAGGGAACTGAGAGTTTCACTTATTAAATAGATCAATGGGCTTTTTTCTATTTCTCTATGTGAACTGGATTTTATTGGTTTCATTATTATTTTATTAGTGTTTACTTTGTTATATGGTCTTCATCAAACTAATTCTTATTTTACACCGAAATCACCTCTTAGTTCATCAGTTTTTTCATTCACTTAATTCTCTGATCTTATGTAAACCTCTTCAAATCCTGTTTAATTATTACACAACCCACCTTATCAATTTCTAATTTTATACAATTATCATCTCAACACTCCAAATCTTCTATATCTATTTTGGTGATTTGAATTTTATGTAAATTCTTCACAAATTCTATACTTGGCACACAATTTGTATTATTTGTTTCCGGACTTCATTTGATTACTGTCTCACTCACCCTCCTATTCTTTTAGGATT